CTTTCATTGTTTTTTTTCTTCTTTTACAGTAAATGCCTCAAAACCTCTCAAGTAGAAAAGAACTGTAGCAGGACATATGATTTGTTAGGGCCTGAATTCTCCTCAATTTGTTGAATGGTATTGACATTTATCACAATATACTCAGAAAGAGCACAACATGATTTTATTTTCTACTGTAGCTACCTTAGCTACCTGGAAGAAAAATCCTTTTGTTGTCTAAGCTCCAAACACAAGCTCATATGTAATATTTAAGTATTTTATTTATGGCACCTTAACATAAAAAACAAGCTTTGGGGTTTATTCATTTTCAACTTTTATTACAAAACATAACAATAAAAATGTCTTCATTCAGCCGTGAACTGAAAAACAATTCTATTACCCTGACATAAGTATACTGTATAAGCCTATTTTAAAAATGGGCAAGTGAAACAAAACATGCAAAGTTTGTGAATTTCAGTCCAGGAAAACTGAGAAATGTCATATCTACAATATATAAATGATTTTGCTTTTTTATCGTCAGAACATATAAAACACACTTGTAAGGAACATGCAAAATCTTTTGTGTACTCAGATGTGAAACCAAGTTTCCTCTAGGATTAGTCAATAGTTTGCTCCTTCTACATTCGCACCAGTCTTTACACTTTCCCAGTCTCTACTGGTAAAAAACTGAACAACTCATCAGAAGTTGCATCAGTCTCTTTACTTGCCAAACAGTTTGTTGAGCTTTGTGCAAGAGGACTACTTAAGGTAAAAACTAAATAACCTTTGCATCTAAGCCTTAACATAACTGCAGACTGAGAAATGTAGCACCTCTCCAAGCCTTCTAAAAGACCATTAATTTGATTGTGCACGTTAATATGATATTGTATGTCATTTGTTTTTCAATTTGTCTAATCTATATTCCTGCTGCTGCCTCTGCCATTAGGTATCACACCAAACAAAGCATTAGGGGGCAAAGCAATGACATATTCAGTTTCCAATCAAGTAAATTGAAATGTTCAAACATAGAGAGTATTGAAGCTTTTAGGCTGGTCCCTCTGTGCTCTGATGCAACCTACTTACTACTTTGTACCTTGCTTTCAATCTTGCCTGAGGTGTTCTTATAGATGGCTTTTGATCCACAGGGAGATCATAAAACGAATTCTCTGTTTGCCTTTTAAAGGAGGATTAACTAGGCACTTAGGAAATTTGGGTTTTATCACAATAAAAATCTTGTATAATTTACACAGTGTTGTTTAATTTTGGACCTTTTGCCTTAAAAATGCAGTCTGACCTGGACCCAGCAAGAGACATGTTGTGAAGTTGGCACTACAGAAAATACTGCACACTGTTACAGCACTGAGCCTAATGGAACTCCATGCCATCATGCAGCCGGACAAGAAAAACATCAACTGCACTACGCTGCTACGGTAGTCAACCTCAGCACAGACAAAGAGACTAATAACATAAATGCCACCATGAATGCCCAGCAAAGTGTAGAGGTGGTTAGCACTGTTACCTCGCAGCAATGGGGACCTGGATTCAATTTTAGACCTAGGGTGCATTCTGCATGGAGGTATTTTTTTGTCCCTGTGTTCACATGGACTTGTAGGTTATCTGGCTTCTAGCAGAACTGGCCCTGGTTTGATTGTGTGCATGTGTGCATCTGCCCTGTTATGGACTGGTATCCCCTCTAGGGTGTATCTCGCCTTGTACCCTCTGCTTGCTGTAATAAGTAGGCTCTGGTTCCCCTATTACCCTGGACTGGTTAAAAAGGTTAGGAAAAAGATGGATGTAAGGGTAACATAAATGGAGTAAAAACTATCTTTCTACGCTTGGACACTAATTGAATCTTGGAAACTATTGGCCACTTTTACACAGCTTATCACTATGCAAATCTGTAGATAATAAAAATGGAACTATTGGGAATGCTGTTCAAAGGGCAATTTAATCTTCATACAAATTATGGGAATCCTCTTCATACAATGTTATGATGCAAACAATCATTTATCTATCTATCCACAATCAGAAAAAAATTACCCAAAAATCAGTGCAGCTTGTTAGTCAAAACTGAAAGCAAATTCTGAGGCCTAGTGAAACCACTTCTCACTGAGAAAATCTGACTACAAAGTATAACATATATACTAAGTATAAAAATGATGCTAATGATATGTTCAAGAAAATACATTTTTTTTCCTGTTTAAAATTAACTTAAGGCACAAGAGACTCGTGAAGCCTTTTCTCATGAATCTTCTAAGCAGTAGAAATAGCAGTGCTCTCCGTCCATACCAAGTTCTAAACCTGCTTTGGGTTGACACACAAATTGTTTCTGGGGGGCTTTCAATCATAGATCTTCAAGGGCTGTCATGTCTCCAGAAACAAATTATTTGACTTCAATGGGACTTGAGTCCGGCAGTTCTTACTGAGAGGGATATCATAAAGAAGACTCCTTATGGACATTAGAAGAGTTACAAACAAGGAACATTCAGTCTATCAGTCTTGTCTAATTGCTGGTGCCTAGTCTAAAGATCACATACAGTCACTCCTTAAAACAAGTTAGGATGAGCTTCAACAGTCTGGTGGGGTGTGTTAAAAACCCCCTACTTATAGAGTTTAAATACCTAGATCAAATCTCCACAATGTCTTCAGTGTTCCAAGTTATTCAGGTGGAAACTGAATTTGCTATTTTTAGTTTTATATGTTTAAGTGTTAAGAAACATGTAGGTGTCATTAACACTTCATTCATTCATTCATTTTCATTACTTTGCGACACCATTAATGACCATTGTTAAAAAAAATGCCACTCTCCATAAGTATCAGTTGAGCTGAACACACTGTACATTTAGCACAATGCTTGCCCATTCACACAAACTGTCATAAACATGTCAGGAACGCGTCTCGCATAAACGAGACACTGATGTGGATAAAGCCAGCAGAGAAAAAATAAAAATGCTTGATAAAAGCTTGTATTGTTCTCATTCATATACAGTACCTTTCTCTCAGAAAGTAAACAAATGACCAGTAAAACTCTATATCTGAATGTCACAATGAAACACTCTTTAGTGACCATTGACACCTGAAAGAACACTTCTTTTCTCTGTTGTCTGGATCTGAACAACAGCTTAATGAGAGCCAGTACTCAGATGTGCAGCGCAGAGTCTATATGCAGTACTCTGGGGCGGTGTGGTGGCTCTGTGGCTAAGGATCTGCGCCTGTGGCTAGAAGGCTGCCGGTTCGTATCCCACGGCTGGCAGAGGAATCCTACTCTGTTGGGCCCCTGAGCAAGGCCCTTAAACACAACTGCTCCAGGGGTGCCGTATAAATGGCTGACCCTGTGCTCTGACCCCAGGCTTCTCTTCTTGCCTGTGTTTCTCATGGAGAGCAAGTTGGGGTATGCGAAAAGACAAATTCCTAATACAAGAAATTGTATATGGCTAATAAAGTGATCTTATCTTACTCTGTATACAATGTATACAGGATACTGCCTGAGCACTTATTAAGATGTGTCATGATGCCAGTTTTATGTATAATGCACTATTTAAGCCCTTGCAGTTTAGCCCACATACAATTAGGAATTGTAAAGGTATACTGTATATGCAAGCAAAATAAAAGTGTGTTCTTGTATTTGCCCTCCCATAGCGTATGATAGTTTAACATTTATTTTAAAGATATGAAGCCAGTCATCTCTCATTCTGTCATCCTCATGTCTGCACCACTACCAAAACAGTCTCCTATGGCCTTCAACTTAAAAGCCTACATCTGGGGTGTCCAGCCCTGCCCCTGGGGAGCCCCAGTTCAGCGTTCTAGTAGGTAGGAATTAGGTCACCAATTTATAACGAAATGTAGTAATACTGAATATTATTCGGATCGAAAATCAGAATATTGTTTAACATTTTTTTAACCTTTTTAATCCTCAAGAAGTTTCCTTAACTGAACAAATGGCTTCTTTGATAGATCGCTATCATATATAATGTACAGGGGTTTAAAATATATTAGATTAAATATAAAACTAACTGGACTGGGGCTCTCCAGGACCTATGCTCTAAATTTCATGATAGAGCTCTTGTTACTCCTAGTTTCCTATATAAGTACTGCTGTTGAACTGCTGTTCAGACATTTATGCAGGATTTATTTATTCATTTTGTGTAAGCTTTCAGCAAAATATTAATCTACTGTACATTTCTATACTGAGCTCATAGTCATCAGTTAAAGCTGTGGAAAAGACACTCATACCTGACTGAATTGCATCTCAACATGTGATAAATGTAGTGATGAGGTTATGATCGTCCTCTACAAAAACTGTGTCACTTCTATGTAAAGCTAATTGATTTAAATTACAAATGGCAAATACGATACATTTTGTACTCGCAAGTGACTGGAATAAGTACAGAATATCAATAGCATTTCTGGCACACCACAAAGCTAATGCATTAATTGCTCCGATTCAGGAGGGACAGTTAAGGGAATCTAAATGACCGTGCACACGATCTCCTGGAGGTTATGGTTTAAACGTTGGATGCGCTTTGAAAACGTTGCATAGCCCTAGAATATGTAGCAATAATTCAGAAACTACCGAAGACATTGTTTCGAACAAATAGATCTGCTACAAGTAGGACCAGGTTAGCATCAACAAAAATAGTGTCAGACAGGATATAGTACGAAGAAACAATGTCAATTGTGAAGAAACGTTATTTTTTAACCTTTAGAGTTAAAAGCACTCGTTCTGGTGAGCAAATGTTGAGATCATCTATGTTCTTCCCATTTCGATGGAATGATTGGCAAAACCACAGTGCTTTTCTCGATTGGACAGCAGACGGCAAACCATTCTCAGCACCGAAAACATCAGAATTAATCGTCGTTACCATAATGCTTATACAGTAGTTCATCGCTCTGCCTGCAACCCGCTAACCTGAAATATTCCTATGTGATTTAGAACACAAAGCCATCAACATTTTAAAGCCGCTTCTTTTCAAGGCAGACACAAAACAAATGCGTATCAAACATTATATAACTATACTTACATTTTGACGAGGCATGAAAATGTTCCTTCCTGGGTGACAGTAATCGCTTTTTTTTTTAGCTCATTTCAAAGCCATTCTTCTCAATTCCTTGTCTGATCGTCTCCGCAGTAACCTCAGTTTGCCCTGCCTTTCTGTGACACATTTTGACGTAATAAGCAGTCGCTTTGGTCCTCCCATTTCCTCTAGCCCTGCCTGAAAGTAGCATCACCCTAAGGCGGGCCTTACGGACTGCGTTTGCTCAGCGGACAACAAAAAGCACTACATGAATTATGGAACAATGTAAAAACTAGTGCATGATGAACACACGAAAAAAGATTATTTCATTGTTGTAACAATACGCAATAGCTTTCCCCGAGGTCCTTGGACTTTGCTTCGACAAAGCCAACCAATGGCGAACTGCGTATTGGTTGCCAGTATATGTCAGTAGGTGGCTGTAAAGAAAAAGATGTTTGTGTTAAATCAGTCCCCTGGCGTTTTATGTTAGCTAAGCAGAGAAAACGTGGTTGGCTTCGAGACTGTCATCTCAATTTGCATGAGGCAGCCTGGTGAAATGCTGATGATTATTATTGGGTCATGACTTTATCAAACTTAAATAGCTCAGATAAAATTTCACCTTCTGAGTTCACTAATATTGACAACATAGTAGTAGTATCATAAAGCAAAGATTAACAGTACACTGTCATGTATGTTTAATAGGCAGACCTTAATGATAAGTAAAGATCTGGAAGGCATATTAATCCCTTGCCATTAAGCAACTGGTTGATCCAATTAAATAAATTGTGGCAGTCCAGAACCTGGATTGCAGACCCCTGGTACAAATAAATTGATTGACATAATCAATTTTTGGTTTAGTATGGTGGCACAGTGCTTAGCTTTGCTTCCACTCAGAGCTGGAGCTCTAGGTTCAGTTTATTATGGAGCTATCTGTGTAGAGTTTGTAATGTTCTCCAAATTTTTGTATGGGCTTCCTCTGTGTTCTTCGGTTTCCTCCCACAATCCAAAAGACATACTGGTAGGCTAATTGGATTCTGAGAAAATCGGTCCTGGTGTGTGGGCTTGTTTGTCACTGTGGGTGCCCTGTGATGGACCTGTACTGAATAAAGAGGTTGGGAAATGAATGGATAGAGGGAAAGTAATGTTGCTAAAAACATAACATAGCCTACTGCCATTTTGCAACTCAAGGCCTGTCCGAGAAAGTATGGATTACAGAAGTCTAGAGTGGGAAAAAACTACCATTTTGCAAATCAAGGCCTGTCCATGAAAGTATGGATTACAGAAGACTCAGGTGGGATAAAGCCATAGCACAGAAAATCTGGATTGAGTGCAGCCAGAGTTAAAGTTGGTACACAATAAACATCCAGCAAAGGACAGTGCTCTAAAACAGAGAGTCTCAGTTCTGGTCCTGGTGTTACCCATGTCAGCTGCTTTTGGTTTCAATGGGGCCCTTAATCACCAGTGCTAAGTGGTGCCTGTTAGACTATCTTTCTGCACTTTCACTGAAATGTCATTTTTTTCCCAGAACTCTCAAACGTACAGGATTTGGAGAACCAAGTTGGTTACACAACCACAGAAAAATCCCTATGTATTTAAAACGTCTCTAAATCAATTGTTAAAAAGAAGAACCATCTGGAGCTTTTAAAATTTCCTCTATTTTTAACTCAGTTGACACATTAACTATATAGGTTATTAGCATAAAATGATGCCCAAGAGGTTACCTAAGAAAATTCATTTATTGTCCTCCAGGAGTTTCATCTTAATTATATAGGCAAAACATGTGTGGTATAAATTTGGAAAAGAATGAATCTGGGATCAAGTGCTCTAGAAAATGATAATTTGACATGACCTAATAAAGAGTTTGTGATAAATGTATGATAATAACTAAAATGTGTGCACTCCCTGTTTTGAGCAGACAGTATATTGAGTAAAATGACCATATGTATCTGTGTTCAGATTTTTACTTTTACTGCAACCAGTTTTTAGTTATATTCTACATGCTTTGCATAATCCACTTTGATTTATACTTACACACACATAAAGGATGTTTGCATCCTTTATAAAAGTCAGGGAAGTAATGGAGATCTCTGTATGCCAATAGCAGAGATACTGTCATGACAGTCTGCTGAGCTGATCAACTGTCATGCTTCCATGCCATACTAATGCCATGGAAGAAAAGACTCCTACTGTAGGTTGTAGGTGATGTACTATTTAGTGAACACAAATTCAAACAAGAGGTATTATTGAGCCACTCTCACTTATCTTTTTTAACCTTAACTAGTTTAATAAATTAGGGTTATTATATTTTGTACCAATACAAAGCTGAGAGCAAATTAATCTCATGACATTATAATCCTTACCCTTGGTATTAATTTGAAGAAACCTGACACCTACTGTACTGGTGAAAATGTCTTAATAGTTATATCTTTATTTGTGTTTCATGATGATCATTTTCTTATTGTTTCATCCAGGTCAGGGTCGCTGGGGAGCCTTATCTCAATGGAGGGCTTATCTCGGCAATGGTCAGGAGCAGGGGAGGGTACACCCTGGATGGGACACCAGTCCATCAGAAGACACACACAAGAACAAACACGCAAACACACTCACACCAGAGCCAGTTTTCCCAGAAGCCAATTGAGCTACAGTAGCAGTAAATCTTTGGACAGTGCAGGAAACAGGAGCACATGGAGGAAACATACAACTCCTCATAGATAGCACCCCAAATCCAGAATTGAACCAGGGATCCAGCTCTGCTGATGATATTTAAACACACTGTTTAAACCTTGCAAAAGTGTAAACCTCGAGTGTAAAATATATCATTCTCACTGATAAAACCCCTGGCATAAGTGTGTCAGGGAGGTTTTAAAAGATTTGGCTTTTAACAAAATAATTGTTGGTTTAGATCTAAGGGAGTGTGAGAGGGGGGGCATACTCTGTACACCTTGAGTAAGATACTTCATTTAGATTGCTTCAGAAAAATGCTAAGTTCAATTATTGTACATTTATACTAATATTAATACGAATACAGTAATACTAATGTATAATAATATAGAATTGATGATAATTTATAATCTTACTGGAATACGTAGCAGTATTTCGGTTATTGACCTGTTGTTTCTCTCAATACCTCAACCGCACTTTCTTGAAGTTACACGTTTCACGTAACACTTAAAAAAAAACATACTAAATTAGTAATTGCTCGGTATCAGCTTCGACATCATTCCTAAATATATCTTTTCCACACTCCCACAACGATTACTGTATAGAAATGAGCGACCGACTCTTTTTTTAGTTTCAAGTGCACAGCGCTTTTAATACCATTTGTGTATTTAAATCGTATTAAAACACCAATTCGATCCACTACTTCCATCTAGCGGTAAAAAAAAAATCACAAGTGACCTCTTTTACTAGGTATTAAATCTTGATAGTACGATCACGGCGAGTCTAAGTCACCAAGCACAGGGCGCTAAGTGGAAATGCAGTCTATCCCTCACAGAGCGCGCCAGTACACGGAGGATAAATTCATTGATATATTAAATTTAATACACTTAATTGGTATTTGTTATGACTTTTTGATATCATAAATGTTTTAATTTTGAAAATAACTTTTGTCTGTGGTTACAGTTTAATTGACTGATTCACAGACATGCATTTATTAGCATTTTCATTAGTAGTATTTTGTCATTTACACTGCTGTGCAAACGTATCAGACGTCTTAAGTGGTATTTACATTATACACCTTATGAGCATCAACAATTCACTAAAAGGTCCCACTACTGTTTTCTAGTATTATAACTTTATTATTATAACATCACTAACACAGTAAAATTGAGTGATAACAAAATTAATTTATCATTTAACAATATTTAATTCACATGGTCAGTCTTCCACAACTCAATGTAAACTGTACAAGAGCAGTCAATGTGAAGTGTTGAAGTAGTTAATCCATCAATCCAAAGAAATCTGATTCACTCAGGACTCTGAATCTCTCACAATGAACCAATAACTTAAAACAAGTAGAGATGTACAGTTTATTTGTGACAGGCAAAGAACACTCAGACTAAACCCACCAAGCTCAAACCTTTCTGCTGTTTTGGTTCATCTAGAGAACACAATGAGGTGTAACAGATGATTCCTTGACTGAGTTTTGCTCAGTTTTCAAAACTTCTGAATCGATTGTTCATTTTATGAAGGCTCAACTCTTTTAATAATACATTCTAACCATAGCCTTTACCTTCCTAAAGTTTTCAGCTGTTTTCCTCTGAGTTGCTTGTATTTCTGTGTATGAAGGAGGCAAAATGACTTACAGGACATATTTCCATATGAGTGGTGTTCCTGAGCTGCCCTGGCCTATAGTCACATTTAAGACATTCTCAAGATAGGAAAAATATTGAATTTGCCCCCATTTCCATGCTCTCACAAATATAAAAATACTTAAAATGTACATTTTTTATGCTTCATTTGGTTAAAACATACAAACAAAAAATAAGTGGCACCTCATGCATTCAGATAAAGTAATGGTACATATGTTAAGCCCATACCAAGTTGAAACAGTAACAAGTGAAATATGCCTTTCACCTTCTGTGGCAGTTCAAGAGGAGTGTTCATCTGTGATGCAATGAAATACAAGAAAAAAGCTTATCTTGACTTCACCCAAGGAAAACAATCTGAACAGTCGTAGATGAAGGTAAAGTTTCGATTGTGATAACATTTTCTTTTTTACTCTATGACGGAATGGAAAGCTTTCATTTGCCCACTACATTTTGGCAAATAGTACCTAAATGCTGAAACAGAGTTTATTATTTCTTTAACTGAAATTCTACATACAATCTAACGTATTGTGGCATGACGAGGTTGGTGAGGATGGAAACAAGGGCTTAGACTCTCTTACAGTAGTTAAGAATTTGGCGCTTTATTAGTCAGACGTGTGTCTGGCACAGCAACAGCAGCTGAGGAAGGAAAAACCGGAGAAAGCAGAGTACAACACACTGGGGTCATTTGGGGTACAGATATGTGGGTACAGGTATAAAAGGGGGTGTAAAACCAGGTAGAACTATTTACAGGGATCTGGGCAACCTTTGCAACAGTGTACACCTGTTCCAGATGGTCAGCAACACTGGCCAGAGGCCCCCTTAGTCCCTGCCCTGGCTACTACTCCCATCCTGCCCTTCGCCACGCACCTTAGCCAGGCGCTCCTCTGCCGCAGAGCCAGGCGAGGGTGCCACACTGCCCCCACCTGGGATGGAGAAGGTCATCTTTGGGTGAGCCTCGAGAGCAAGCGGCTGAGGAGACGCGGGGAGTAGTCTCTCCTCCGCAAGGCAGCGCTCATAAGGGACTTTAGGGTGTCGCTCGGATTCCGACATGTCACAGACCACTGTCCATCCTTACTGCTCCTCACACCCATTGGAGCACAACGGGGGTCAGTGAGAATGGAAACAAGAACGTTTAGTTGGGAGTTCAGCACCTTATTACTCAAAAGTGCCTCTGGTACAGCAAGAAAGAATAAAAATCAGGTGCACGTAATGTGAACAATATCGTATTCATATTTCCTATCGTCTTAGTCATTTGGGTATTTCAATTTGCTTAAAGAAAGCAACATAGTTTCAGTTAAAAATTTGTGTGAGGCATAAACCTCAGTATATGTCATGCAAAATAGATTAATATATTTTCAAAGTCAGATCTGAGTGGGAAGATTTCTGACATTCTGTGACTTGCTTTCAATTTGTAGACGTCTCCCAAGAAAATAATCAAAACACCGTCAATTAGATTTTTACATTTTGAAAATGAAATATTTTACTGATGAACAAATATTTAGGAGGAGAAGGTTTCTTTTCCATCTTTATCTTATGTTGTCACACGGTGACTGTAATGAACATGACGAGGTATGAGGTACATATGTAAAACCAGAGGGCAAGTTCTGCTATAATTTACATAGTCTATCTGAAAAGATAAGGCACAGGATCTAAATTCTTCTTTTGTTTCCTTGTTTTACACACCTTTTCCTCCTGATCCATTCTTTTATTTTCTTCCACTCTGTAGTGTGGCTTCATGTAGTATATAGCAAAGGAAAGAATAACAAAACTACTAGTTAAGTGACGAACTGATAAATCGATTAATTACAGTATTGGTCAATGACAACGTCCCTTAAGGAGAGTCAGCAGGAAGATATTGATAATTATATTTTCAATAGGCTTTAGCTTCCCAAAAAGTAGAGGTAGTACAAAAGATGCTTTTAACATACGTACAGTACGAAATTTGTCTGATCGCCCCATACTTTCCAAAAGAGAATGAGTACTGATGTAAATCAGAATTTCCTCCAACCTGCCAAAGGCAAATGATTAATCCTGGTGGCGACTTCCAGTTGAACAAAAAAAAAAACTATCAGGTGTTAAATTGTAATTCAGTTCAACGTTTTGATTTAATCCGGATGAAACTCATCAATCAGGACATTTTGTCATTGATAATCCGAAAAGGCAACCGTTGTGCTGAGAGAAAAAAGACGACTGTACTTAAGAGTACTGAATTCTGAATTGTAGTGAGATTTAATTAGAAATACTGTATTTCTATACTTTATAGCAACGATGTTCTAGTGCCACCCGGTAGGTAATTTACTGAAAGTGCACACACAGGTATGGTGTCCTTCAGAATGCATTGAAAAGGAGCAGTTTAACAAGTTCTTCCGCTAGATTCTGTTCTTTGCTGTAGTTAGTTTCACAATGGAAAATGAACCAGCCCCACCCTCTCTACCTTTAACATACCTTAGGTAAAACCTAGAATAGTCTAGGAATGTCCAGGAGCAAGAAATCGGCAGAGGAATAGCCGGAAACAAGGGAATGATGTGGTACTCTTAATACAGTAATTAGCCAAAACAAGTTAAATTGGAATTTTGGATGACATTCATATTCTAGGTGGAGCTGCGTTTACAACACCGAACGCCCACGAACGCACTGATACCTGTACGGTTGTCTCCTCGTTATGGTCGCATTTTCTGCCTCTGTGGAGTGGAGTCATATAACATTGATTTATTTTTAACTTGCGTATTAAGGACACTGGCACTGAAAGTTTCACGGGAAAAAAATGCATTCTTCAGATCGTGGGAGACTGTCCGTGTTTTTTATAACACTCTGGATTATATTTCTCAGTCAGGGCAATGGATGTCGCGGGGATATCGCTAAAAAGACTACAACAGCTAAAGCTTCAACGGGCAAACCAGGTGAAGCCGTACAGGCATACCCAAATGCGGAGGAGAACCTTCCACTTTTCACTATTAACTATCCACGCGTACAGGTTCCGTTAGAAATCACGCTGTGGGTGCTTTTAGCTTCATTCGCGAAAATTGGTAAGCAGGTCCTTTTTTATTAAATTTTTTATCTCGAATGAAATAAATAGAAACTTCTGTTTGATGACTTGTAAATCTTCATAAATGCCTGTTTTACTGTATATGATACTGGGTGCAGAACCATCAAGCGGAGGTCAAATTATTTTCTTGATAATCAGCTGATGGTAAATAAAAAAATGAATTAAAGAAAACTTGCCTGATCAGAATAGTCAAAACGTCAATAAGTTTTTTACATCTTAGAACATTTCTCAGATCCTAGTTCACAGAATGTATCCATTAAGATATATAAAAAGGAACTGTATGGGTTGGAAGGGGTCCAAGGTGATACTTTTACAAATATCTTGATAAGCAAAACAGAGGTGTAGGCCTTCGTATACTGTGCTGTCCCTCCATGAGAACATGTATAATATTTCTGTTTTCTTGATATCACAAAGAGTTCACAAACCAAATCAACGATAAGCGCATTTTAGACCTAACGCAGATACCTGTTGCTTATTATTCTTTATAGCACTGAAAATCGATTCATCCATTTTCCAACCAGGGTCATGGTCTGGGTTATGGGGGCACTGGCACCTATACAGGCAAGCAGCGGGCACAAGGCAGGGCACACCTTGAATGGGATGCTATTCCATGGATGGGCAGGCACTGAGACATAAACACAGCCGACTTTCCCATAAGCCAATTAACGTACATTACCAGTATGTCTTTGGTCTGCGGGAGGAAACTGACTGAAGAGAGGGGAAACATACAAGCTCCACACAGACAGCACCCAGGGTCTGGGATTGACCCCAGGGCCCTAGTGCCGTAGGCAGCAACACCCACTGAACCACTCAGCACTGATAAACAGGATGAAATATTTCAAAGTTACTTTTTACAGTGGGAGATGTTGTTAATGTGTTTAGAATGTGCACTTTCAATTGTTGTGTGCTTTTTGCAGGTTTCCATGTTTACCACAAAATAACAGTATGGATCCCAGAGTCGTGCCTTTTAATTGCCATTGGACTGATTGTTGGAGGGATTATGCACTCTGTTCACGAGGAGCCGCCCGCAGTGTTGAGCTCAAATGTCTTTTTCCTCTACATGCTGCCTCCTATTGTGCTTGACTCTGGCTATTTTATGCCCACCCGGCCTTTCTTTCAGAATGTTGGCACAGTCCTGTGGTTTGCCATCATGGGGACTCTGTGGAACTCCATTGGAATTGGGCTCTCCCTGTTTGCCATCTGTCAAATTGAGGCTCTTGGTCTCAAGGACATTAATATGCAGGATAACCTGCTTTTTGGCTCCATAATTTCAGCAGTGGACCCTGTGGCAGTGCTCACTGTGTTTGAAGACGTCAATGTAAATGAGCAGCTTTATATTGTGGTCTTTGGAGAGTGCCTGTTCAATGATGCTGTCACTGTGGTAAGTCTCTACTGGAGAATGCGTCGGATGTTCTTTTTTCACAGTAAGCAAAAAAAGATGACGAACCTAACCAGTCCAGTATTACACCTGCTGCTATGTCTTGAACAAATAAGATCTACCATGAATTAATAAAAAAAGCAGTATCCAACCTAAACTGGCTCATTGCAACTACCTACTTGATACACCACAAAGTTATGATTCAAGATATTTGAAATCCTGTTTTTTTCTTTAAATTGGTGATTGTAAAAAAAAAATGGAGATTGGTGATTGATAGCCTGTTATACAGTAAAAATGAAAAGGAGGAAACTGATTTACAATCTGATTAATTTTATGTTTAGTGCTTTGTTGATGCATTGACCGACAGGAAGGTTATTTTATTTATTGATATTTTTCCAGGATCCTATAAAGTAAAACAAAGATGGAGGCTACAGCTTGATTCAGCTGTAGTTCAGCATGATTGACTATATTTGACAGATAATTCCTTTTGACTTAAACCTACATAATCAAATCTCCATTTTCAGTAAGTGCGCAGTCTTATAAGAAGAAAGGTGCAGATGAGATAAGGTCACCCTGCTCAAATAGTTTGGTTGGTTAGCAAATAGGTACAAGGATCTCTTTCAGTCATTTTCTGAAAGAAGCTAGGGACCCAGCTTCAACAGCACAGGTGGGTAGCCTGTTCTATGATCCTCCAAAGATTCCTCCAACGAAATTCCCTCCAGTTTTCAGTGTGAAATTCACTTCCACATAGTTTTCACATATCCCCTGGTCACTTTTGTTTCTTAAAGTCCATAGGGTTGACTTTGTTAGTGCCTTTGTGGATCTGGTATCAAATCACTTTGAAGTATTTTCTGTAAGGTTTAGATATTCATTTCAAAATCATGTCAAAATAGGACAGTGCTTTGTGACAAAAGATGTACGGTATGTGGTCACTCTTCCATGGACTGAATACTGTACATTGATATGTTTTTTTTATTAGGTAACCAAATTTGTACACAATGTTTTATATGAGGCCTTACAATTTTAAGGTAACAAATCTTGATATTTAAGTTCTTTGGCTAAAACTATACAGTATATTCTAATATTCTTTCCTTTTGCAACTCATTTTAAAGGCCTGCAGAAGAGATAAGCTGCCTTCTAAACTATATATAATAAATCCTGCAGATAAATCTCTCTCAACAAACCCAGAAGCCCCACAATAAATGGGAACCTCTCCCTATTGTAAAAATTCACCCACAAGCCAGCAGAGGCCATTTTTAACCAAAGAGTTCTTTATACAGGAAATCAGAGTTCCCTAAATAACACAGAATAACAAGCTTTCTTAAAGTGGATCACATTCCCAAATTCTCTGGTTATTAAATCTCAGTAACAAAATGAATTTATTGAAGATATAGACTTATACGAATTGTGACTTAAACCGTCCCTTCCTACTCAATAGACACTGTAATGACTGATGTAATGTGATGTACAGTATAAAACAAATTAGTACAGGTTGTGCAAGCAGACATTTCACTTCAGAGATATTTCAACGTGACCTGCAAGCAGGTTTAACTAGAACTGTAAGTAGTGTGTGTTGGCAAAACAGTATCAAAAGTTGAGAGCAATATTTTTATTGGATTAAAAGAGATATATTCACTGCTTGTTTACAATATACAGTAACCGGGCACTTAATGTCCCTGGAAGTTGTGTTGCCTGTGAATTGTAGACAGCAGTGGTAATACAGTGCTGTGCATAGCTGAAAATTTACACTACTTTGTTATGGAAATTGGAAGTTTTACTACATGCATTTTACTCTCATTGTGATTTGAAATGGACTCATTAATAACAATTCTTCCTAACTCCAAAATGTAAAACTAGCATTGCAGTTCCCCTTTAACAAGGTTTAAATACTTACTGTAGCTCCAATCTGGTCTGGAACAAGGAGCTTTCACCTTTAGTTTTTTCTTTTCTTTGTTGTCTTGAGGCCTCCCAACTGCCTGTTTTAAACTGTGTTCCTGGACTGTTAAATGACACTTAATCATTTACCTAGAACTTAAGTAAGGTAAACCAAGGTAAACTTTGTGACTTTTTTGATCATTGAATCTGGGACCTATACTGTACATCTCAGCAAACATCCCCCTTTGCTTTGAAGCTGAAATGCTGACACTAGACACTAGTTCTCCATTGTATCTAGATACTATTGTATCACTTCATAACAACACATTAAACAACATCTGGTAAATATTTGCCCTATCAAACATTTTGTCCTTCTTACAGTGTAAATAAGCACTTATTATGAATATCTACCAGTTTCTGCTGCTGATGACTGGGTTTTCCCTATTTAAATGAGGTACATTCAAAGTTCATGTTTGAGAATTTGTTTGAATTAGCCATTCCACTCTAAATTGTCTTGCATTTTTCTGTATATCTGTGCTACAACAATTTGGTACTTATCTCAATGAGATATAATTTATTGTATCTGTATACAGTATGTATATGTATCTGAGCTAACTTTTGCAAAAGAATGGTTTCCAATGGCTGAGAAAGCTGAAGTCTTTTAATACACTTTTTCTCAGCCATGTGTTCTTCATTGATTACGTGTGCAGTTGTACCTAATCAATGTTGAAAAAGTTCTTGTAGAAGATAATCACTGATTTAAGGCTACTTTTCAGTTTGTTTCCAAGGTCTGCAAATTTGTTTGTGTGACATTTCTTATTTTAAAGTGTCCCTTTTTATTCACTTAGGACTCATCTTAGCAGAACCTGTGATATAATGAATAGCGCTTCGAAACGCCATGTAATGTGTCTGTAGGTTTTGTACTTTAGGTAAAAAAAGATGATACCATTTTGTCTTGGTGTTTAGTTGCTTCTGATTCACCTGTTTCCAACAAAGTGTAATTGGCTGTAATTAATCATTCACCATCTGTTGGCAGCAAAAGGAATATGTTTTAGCAACACAGAGAAGGTGTATGTGCATTAAACTAATACTGATTACTAAAAGATCCTTAAAAGTTTTGAAAAACAAAATTTGGATGTCAGATTCTACTGATATATACAGTATGTACAAACACTTGATTTAATTAATAAAGCCAGTGATCTATTTGGCTGTATGTAGCATATGGAAAGTTCAAGTACAGGTAATATTTAAAGCAGGCAGATAAAGTAGTTTAGTGATAGAGTTTATATTATGTAACTTGAGATGCTTCATAATTTGTTTTCTTTAGCTCTTTTGTTCCGAGTAAGTGGGCGTTAGTTCTGTTTGTTAGCTTTGTCAGTCGCATCAGTCTTACATATATTAATAGCTGCTTTGTTATCTCAGTATGTCACGGAAGTTTATTTCTTAATATGTCATGGAAATTTACTTCTTAATATGTCATGGAAATTTACTTCTTAATATGTCATGGAAATTTACTCCTGAGAACAGCTGCTATTCTATCTCATTTCCTTGTAAATTGTTTATATTTAATGTTTGTTGCCAGTATGCATTTCCTTATACTTTTGCATGTATTTAAAAAAATGTTTTCTGCAGCGAACTGTGAGCCTCTTTAGCCTCTTAATGGTTCATGACAGAAAAAGAAAAGTGTTTAAAAAGTTAAAGTAGAGATCTATCACCACTGTTTTGGCTTTAGGCTTTAGAGTTCACTAGCCAGTTATAAAAATATACTACTACTATTATATTGCATAATATCCTGCAGACCTTAGAAATACGTTATCTGTAAAAGGTCTACCATGTAGTCCCTTGTCTTTCAGCCTACAAAGGATCAGTAATTGTGAGTACTGTGATTTAATTTTCAGATTTCAGATTGCAAAATGCTGGCCACATTCTTCTAATGTCTATCTTTATATTTTAGGACATACTGTAGGTCATGAGATGTAATGGTTTTCCTTAGACTTTTGATGTCCTACTTTTTTATATGTTTCTTGGACTTCACACACTTTGCTATATTTTTCTCTTTTGGAAATATGTCTTGCCATGATTCTTGACAATCTGTGAACATATTGTTTAAAAGCACTTTATACAGTGATTATTAAGGGCTTCAGCTTCTTACTGAGTTCCCATTTATTGTGTCTGAGACTTCGTATTAATTCTATAATATTTAAATTAGAGATATAAGACAGACTTTATTGTAGAAAATATTTTTTTTATTGCAGTTTCCACTTTTGTATCAGAGACATGGTTCGGCACTGTGTCAGACTTGTATGCACGGGGCTAAAATATCATCTACTGCTCTAATTGTGTCAGTTCCATTTTGAACGCATTGCCTTATACTAATTGTCTAAAGGCTGCTTGCATTTCAGTGACAAAGACCTCTACATAATGTACAGTAAAGTGGAAGCTTTTGAAAGACTGGATAAAGACTGTCTCTCCAACACTAAATTACTGAAGGGAATTTTCTTGTCTAATTCTGTTTTCTTTGTATTTCTGCCATGTTTTTTTTTTATAGGGTTTTCTCTTAAATCTTTCTGACTCTACCTGATCTTCCTCTCAAAAGTTCCCCTTGGCTGCCATCCTTTGATACTCACAATTATGAAATTCATCACCATATTAATAAATGTTTCTTTCCTCGAAGGGCAAAAATGACATAAGATTTATAAAAAGCATGTTAAATGTTTTACCTCTAAGTTTCTTCTCAATGCAAAAATAAATATCAGGTACAGTCAGAGAGTTAGCACCACAAAGTCATGAAGTCTTACATCTATTTTGTTTAATTATACGAAACATAATCAAAACAAACCGTTTTGCCAGTGGACTTTCGGCATTTGGAAAAGCTATCTGTGTGGTAATACTTTTTGAAGAGAAAAAACTTATAGCTGTAATGGTTTAGATTTGCTACATGCTCATCTCCATACGATTGCTTTAGAATGTCACAATTGCTCAAACATGTCTTCTTTTCCCAAAGACTAATGTTTCGGCTTAAAGGAGTGAAAGTCAATGCACTCCTGGTGAACATGCTCCTCCTCTTTCCTCAGGTGTTATACAACATGTTCACCTTTGTAGCAGATATGCCAGAAGTGGAATCTGTCGATGTCTTCCTTGGCATTGCAAAGTTTTTTATTGTCGGGGTTGGAGGAATGCTGTTTGGATTTCTGTTCGGGTTTACGGCGGCATTTACGACACGGTTCACAACCAATGTCCGATCAATCGAGCCTCTCTTTGTCTTCATGTACAGCTACCTTGCCTATCTGATAGCAGAGATGTTGTCAATTTCCAGCATCATGGCGTAAGTATACATAGTGGCCTAATTAGCACAGATTCAACAGGATACACCACAGACCATGCTAAAAATAGATAAAACACTACGAAAATCTGAAATCATTGTTTAACTCATTCTACTCGAATATGTATACAATCAATGTAGATCAGCACACAATGTAGATACAACAAAAGTATAAAACTTTCAGAAAACTTTCAGAAGTTATTAGAAATATGCCTATGTATAGTATATTTTGTAATAAAATCTTTATCCTTGACATATATACAAATGTCAATTAATTAAATGTTCTGTGCACTGGAGAACAGAACTTCTCAGTGACATCTTTTTCCACTTATCCTTAGCATTATAATGTGTGCCTTGACGATGAAGTACTACGTGGAGGAGAATGTGTCCCAGAGGTCCTGCACCACCATCAGACACGTTATCAAGATGTTCGGCACTGTTTCAGAGACCCTCATCTTCTTCTTCCTCGGAGTTGTAACTATTACAACTGACCACGAGTTTAACTGGGGCTACATCTGCTTCACCATCTTCTTCTGCTTTTTTTGGAGGGGATTAGGTGACATTTGTTTTAATTTTATACAGCTGTTCTTACAACAGATGGTAACTGCTTCCTTTCAAAGAAGGGATACCACACAAAGGTTCTTGAATAGAGTAGCGTGACTACTGTAGGATTTATGAATGTCATAAAAATATCAAATAGATAAAGTATCTGTCAGTTACCGACATTTGAATTAGAAAGTATATCGTTGATTGTGTGTTGCATTTCAAAGAAAAAAAATATCTGATTCTCAGGTTGCAGAGAAATATTACGATGAATTATGTACTGTAAGAGGACCAGGGGAAGGGTCATTTTTAACCGGTATTTCCGTAACGAAACACTGGATATACTAGATATAGACCTAGGCAAGATGGCCACCAAGGATAACCAGCTGACCCGCTGTTGGAAAAGATCTATGCAGCGGAACAATGAGACCCAGGTGAGCTGTGTCAGGAAACAGAATATAAATGCCCCAGAAGCAGTGAGCCGGTGCGGAAGTTGATGAGGTGAAAGCATTTTGATGGAAGGAGAGATTTAGGATTGTGCTGGAAGGAACTAAAGAATAACGGACTATTGGATACGGTATATGACAAAGATTTACGGACTTCGACTTGGATACGGTGCGGATTAGTGTGGACATACGGGCTCGAATATTTGGATAGTTTAAGGATACTGGCAACGTATTACGGAACAGATTTGGAAAACATACGGATGGAGGACAAAAGAAGATCAGTGTGGTGTGAGTTACATCTTTTACACTTGTTTTCCCCCAGCGACACCACAATTGGTGGAGGATGCGGGCACTCGCTGCTCGGGTTTGAGAATCAAAGAAAGTACGTTTTTTTTGTGTGTGGGTTTCGCTTTGTGTGTGTGGAGAAAAACATTGGAACAGCTAATACAGCAATTGTCCCAGGCCACCCTCGCCCAGTTTCAGGCTTTAAAAGGACAGCAAGAAGCTATCCAAGCGCAACGGGAGGCAAATCAAATTCAAACCGAAACTAACGAACGAATTATAGAGGGGCAGAAATTAGTACGGAAAGAATTGCAAGGATTAGGGGAAGAATTCAGGCAGACCCCAGTAACAGGGAGAGACACCGTTCAGGCTGAACAAATTGGGCTACAAAAGATGACAGAACTTAATGATGTGGAGGCATATTTAACCACATTTGAAAGAACTGCATCTCGAAATGCATGGCCCAAGGAGCAATGGGCCGGTAGAGTAGCACCTTATTTAATTGGAGAAGCCCAAAAGGCCTATTATGATTTAAAAGAAGAAGATGCAGAGAATTATGAGACTCTGAAAAAGGAGATTTTGGCAAGACTAGGGGTAACCATGGCAATACAAGCAGTCCGGTTTCACAATTGGAGATACCAAATGGACAAGCCTACTAGGTTTCAGATGTTTGACCTGGTACATCCGGCAAAGAAATGGCTCCAGCCAGAAGAATTAAACCCAGGACAGGTGGTGGAAATGGTGGTGTTGGATCACTTCGTGAGGAGTCTGCCTGTTCATCTGAAAAGGAAAGTGAGTGATGGGGATCCCCATCCACTAAATCAGGCAGTGGATTTAATGGACAGACACCATGCCACGGAGGCCTTGATAAGGGAGACTTTCGAAAAGAGGAGAGAAGAAGCCCCAAGAGTCTGGAAACTGAAATGAAGTATCGGCCAATAAAGTACAATGATTATCGAGGACCTATACAGTTTAAGAAACCCCTTGAGGAAAGATCAGACTCAAGACCCTGACCATGGAAAGAAACCAGATGATGTTTTAATTGTCATGAAGAAGGGCATTTAGCCAGCCATTGCCCCGGCCTGTCAGAACCCATGCAGGTAGACCCCAGAGATGAAGCCAAGTGCAACTACCTTACAGCACGGGTCCCAACCTGTGAGGATCCCCATCTTACGAAAATCGAGATGGAGGAGAACCCGTCGGGGCCTTGTTGGACTCCTGCAGCACTGTGACCCTGGTGACCCCTACAATACTTCCTGGAGAACGGATCCGGAGAACAGAGGGGATACCCATTACTTGCATTCACGGGGATACCAAGGTCTATCCAACAGTAGAAATTAGCATCTCTACGGAACAGGGGACCTACCATTCAACTGTCGGAGTGGTTGAGCAGTTGCCTTACCCTGTGGTACTGGGACAAGACTGTCCCTACTTCCTCCAAACTTGGAACACTGTCCAAACAGCTAGGTGAAGACCAATTCCCTGTCCAGAAGGCCGAGGTGACGCCCCTAATGATGTCCCAGATGAGACAGACCCACAAGAAGGAGGAACTGGACCTGGAGATGAATTTGTAAATATGGATTTACCAGACTTGGAGCCATCCAAACATCGTGGTAGGTTTGGGACCGCCCAATTAGATGGAAATTTGAAGCATGCGTGGGGACATGTCAGGAAAATTGATGGGAAGTGGTGTACTGACCCTAGTACATTGAGTTACCCCTATTTCATGATAAAAAATAATCTCCTCTATCAGGTGCAGCAGAAGGGACAGGAAGAAGTGGAACAACTTCTGATTCCCCAGGCCTACCAGATGAAGCTCCTTAACTTGGTCCTTAGCCACCTCCTGGGTGGACACCTAGGGGTGAAGAAGACGTCTGAGAGACTACTCTCTAGGTTCTTTTGGCCAGGGATCTATAAGGCCATTGAGAAGTACTGTCGGGAATGCCCGGAGTGTCAGAATAACTGCTCCACAACCTTATTATAGAAACCCTTTGATTCCCCTCCCAATTATTGAAACCCCCTTTGAACGGATTGGGATGGATTTGGTGGGGCCCCTGATCCGAACCACCAAAGGTCACCAGTATATTTTAGTGATGGTGGACTATGCTACAAGGTACCCCGAAGCCATTTTGCTGAGAGCTGCCACCGCAAAAAATATAGCTAGGGAGCTAGTACAACTGTTTGCTCTGGTCGGAATTCCTAAAGAGATCTTAACTGATCAAGGAACTCCTTTCATGTCTAAAGTCACGCGAGACTTATGTAAGCTACTGGGAATACACCAGATCCGAAACTTGGTCTATCACCCTTAAACTGACGGGCTGGTCGAAAGTTTTAATAAGACCCTGAAAAGCATGCTGAGGAAGGCTATGCAAAAGGATGGGGGGAAAATTGGGATCAGCTGCTCCCGTATCTCACATTCGCGGTACGAGAAGTGCCACAGGCCTCGACTGGTTTTTCCCCATTTGAATTGCTATACTCTCGAAAACCACGGGGCCTATTAGAATCTTGGGGAACGCCAACCCTCACCTTTACAGACCCACATCGAACATGTGGAACAAATGAGAGAAAGAATAAACGTAATGTTCCCAATGAAAGAAAACCTGGAAAAGGCACGAGCTCAACAAAAACAAGTTTATAATAGGGGAGCTATTGCGAGAGAATTTCAACCGGGTGATAAAGTACTGGTATTAGTTCCGACCCCAGAATGTAAATTCTTGGCCTCCTGGCAGGGTCCTTATGAAGTGGTGGAAAAGGTGGGACCGGTTAACTATAAGGTCAAGCAGCATGACCGAAGACAGCAGCATCAAATCTACCACATCAATTTATTGAAGAAATGGCATGGGACCGAAGTTCTGCTCACCCACTTCTCCCATGACCCGTTGGAAGAAGAAACGGGATCTGTAGCCATGGGAGACCTGGCTCCGCCTCAGAAACAGGAACTACAAGAATTCCTGTCCCAAAACAAAGATGTTTTTTTCCCCGACACCTGGTCGAACCCGTCTTATACAACATAAGATTACCACGGAACCAGGGAAGAAGGTAAGACTACCCCCGTATTGAGTACCTGAAGCTAAAAGGAAATTGATTAAAGAAGAGGTGGAAAAGATGCTAGAAATGGGAATAATAGAAGAATCCCATAGTGAGTGGGCTAGCCCGATAGTTCTGATCTCAAGCTGGATGGAACTATTCGATTTTGTAACAATTTGAAACGGTTAAATGAGATCTCGCTGTTCGATGCATACCCCATGCCCCGTATTGATGAACTAATCGAGCGATTAGATAACGCCTGATACATCAGCACCCTTTATCTTACGAAGGGATATTGGCAAGTGCCGCTGGCCGAAGAAGACAAAGCCAAGACCGCTTTTGCCACACCTGAGGGGCTATATCAGTATAGGGTCCTACCCTTCGGTTTGCATGGCGCTCCCGCAACATTCCAAAGATTAATGGACCGAATACTGAGACCATATCGTGATTTTGCAGCTGCCTACTTGGATGACATTGTGATCCATAGCACGACATGAGAATAACATTTACAACACCTGGAAGCGGTGACTGTAGCTTTGCGAGCAGTAGGATTAACAGCCAACCCAAATAAATGTTGTCTGTGGGCTCGGGAAGCCAATTATTTTGGTTATACGATCGGGAGAGGATTGGTCATACCCCAAGAGCAGAACCTGCTACAAAGAAGCAAATCCGAACATTTTTGGGACTTGTGAGTTATTATCGACGTTTCATTCCAGGGTTTGCCTCCATTGCCGCACCTTTGCACAATTTAACAAAGACGAGTTCTCCGGAAAAAATAAAATGGACAGACTTGGAAGAGAGGGCCTTTCAAGACTTAAAAACATCTCTCTCTTCTCAACCTGTCTTGCAGGTACCGGACTTCAATAAACCTTTCATGGTACAAACTGATGCTTCTGACACTGGAATTGGAGCCATACTCTTGCAAGAAATTGATGGACTGGAGCATATATTAGTCACAGGTTAAATCCTGATGGAAAAACACTATTCTACCATAGAGAAAGAATGTCTAGCCATAAAATGGGCCCTGGACTATTTGAGATATTATTTATTAGGAAGACGATTTAGGATAGGAGAGATTTAGGATTGTGCTGGAAGGAACTAAAGAATAACAGACTATTGGATACGGTATGACAAAGATTTACGGACTTCGACTTGGCTTGGATATTTGGATCGTTTAAGGATACTGGCAATGGATTACGGAACTGATTTGGAAAACATACGGACATAGGACAAAAGAAGATCAGTGTGGTGTGAGATGCATCTCTTTTACACTTGTTTTCCCCCGGCGATACCACAGTACAGTACTTGCCCTTTCCTGAGTGCTGAAATTAATTGCTATGGATTGCTTTATGAAAGCATGAAGACAGCAGGCATAGATGATAAAAACATCATACCAGTTTAAAATTTGCATTTTAAACCAGGTAAAAGTTAGTTTTTGCAAATAATGTTTGTCCTGACAGTTTGTGTTTGTATTTGGGCGACAAGTTCCAAGCATTTTGGAACATTTTTCAAATAAAGTATATAAAAACATGATAATTGCTTTCTTTACCTAGTTAAGCTTTTTTTTTTTGCTCAATGCACCTAGTACATCTGTCCTTCAAACTAGTACTTTTCTATTACTAGAGTTCTGCTCCATTCATCACTTGTCAGTTTTGAACCTCAAGGTAACACTGATTTTATATGGACCAAACAATCACCAGGAGTTAGATACAGCTCTTCAAACCCACTGTAACAAGGAAGAAACCAAAGCACGTACTGAAGGGACAACCCACACATACAACTTGCAAACTCTGCACAGAAAGTGCCCTAGTATAGAATCAAACCCTGGAGACAGGAACTTTAAGGCTGCTCTTTGGTTCACAAAATGTGGAAAAGTAGTTATTTGTTAGCAGTTGTTAAGTAGTATATAAATGCTATTGCACATAATTGTTCCCTATATGGAATTGAAACCAGGATCATTGCATTTCTAGAAGTGTTTAAAGTCAAACTATAATGACAATTGTCACAAAGCATGTGTTTTGTAAAGTGAAATCACTATAAATGTCTATATTTGGGAGAACTTTCCTGTTTTTTTTTCAATATCCTTCATTTTTTTTTCTTCCAGGCGTCCTTGTCCTGACCCAGATTATCAACCCTTTCCGAACCATACCTTTCAACTTCAAGGACCAGTTCGGCATAGCTTATGGTGGTCTTCGGGGGGCTATCTGCTTTGCCCTGGTGTTTCTCTTGCCCGATAGTGTGGCAAGAAAAAATTTATTTGTCACCGCAACCATTGCAGTGATCATGTTCACTGTCTTCATTCAGGTATTGCACACCTTGTTACCATCATTGCCTGAATTTTTAAGATTGTTTTGTTAGCACACATTACGTCAGCTGTCCTGGTGTAGAAAGTAGAGACACTTGAATACTGTGATGTTCCTTACCTGAGAAATTACACCTTAGACCTTTGGTCTTTGGTTTTGATTCAGTGGTGAATCATCTAAGAGTGTGTATGGGGAGTGTTATACAAACCATTTCTTACTGTGCTTTTCATTGAATGAAATGGTTTCTTCTGCATTGGCTACAGGGCATCAGCATTCGGCCCCTGATAGAGTACATGAATGTCAGGAGGACAAACAGGAAGCTGGATACCATTAATGTGGAGATTCACAGTCGGGCAAGTGGCGGCCAATTTGTTTATTTTTTCTACATCATCTCAGAACTTGGTTTCCCATGAGTAAATGCTGCTGATTCACTATTGACCATGGTGAAATTACTGCTTGATAGTAAATAAAAATAGTCATGCTGAAATAAGCTTAATTTCTCCTGTGACCCTGTGTTGGATAACGCAGTTGGATGGATAAACTATGGCAAATATGATATAGCCTTCACATTCTAATTTTCTGTAATGATTTCATAATGTAACTACTGATTATAACTGATAAGTGTCCCCTTCCTTTTGACAGCTCATGGAGCATACGATTGTGGGTATTGAAGACCTTTGTGGACAATGGAGTCACTACTACTGGAAAGACAAGTAAGAATTGGTGGTTAAATCATGGTTGTACTGTTTTAGTACTAACATGGAACAAAAAGATGAATGTGGTGATCAATAAACTAAAATGTAGTTTGTAGTAAGATTTTTTTAATTGCTCAAATGAAGCTATGTCATCCTATATTAATAGACTGACAATATCTACACCATTTCTTTCAGTATTGAGTACTGTATATTGGGAACACCCACGTTACTCTTCAGTCCCTTTTTGGATAGCCATGGTTTATAAGAATGGGATTCTCTCTGTGGTGAAAGTTTCTGAGGGGAAAAAAGGTTATGGGTCACATTAGAAATAGTGGCATGTATCATATCGGTACCTTACATAAAAAGTGACAAGAGATGTGTTTTATATTCACTGACAGGTTTAAAAAATTTAATGACAAAATCCTTAGGAGAATTCTCATTAAAGAAAACAAGGCAGAGTCCAGCATTGTTGCATTATACAAGAAGCTTGAACTACAGAATGCCATGGAGCTGCTGGATACTGCAGGAGACTTAAGTGCTGCTCCCTCTGTGATATCTTTAAAGTAAGTGCTTCATCTCTATTGTAGATCTTCATGCTTATAAATAATAAGTTTCAAAATAGTTTTGAGGAACATCCAAAGAAGACCTAGACTGTAAAATGCATGTATTTGTAAGGCACTGTAAATGAAATCACTAAATATATTCATAGCTTTCTACTAAATAAAACAATGTATTATCCTTTTAAAATCAATAGTTGTACTATCCTTCAAAAGACACTTTGACACTTGTAATCTCATTGCAATACAGAATACTGACCTGAAAAGTACACTTTTAACTGATCTTCTTAGCCAAGGATTGAAAAGTTCTTTATCGTAAAGCTTCTCCAGAGTCCCCAAATAAAAACAGAGCTGCTGATCCCAAACCACATCATTCACATCCCAGAAGGGCCTAGTCCCCAGTCTTAGCATCCGAAAACTCATAAGATCCAGATGTTGGTGAAATGACTATTGGTTATAACCTCTTTCGAATTTAGATTGGACAATAAACACTGGAACATTTCAGAAGTGGTTAAGCCCCTAGGATGTAACATTTGTTTTTCTTCATCTACAGTGAGGACAAACCTTCTAAACCAAAGACTTTCTTACCGGACGAGCTGAGGAACATGCATGATATGTTGACCAAGAATATGTACAAAATCCGACAAAGGGTATGCCAGTCAAATATTCAGTAAATAGGTTATCTGTGTTTTTTTTCCTTGATCTTTTAATCTAAATGTCTTCTTCTTAAAAAGGGGTTCAAGAGCTATTTCAGGAGATATGTTGAAAACAGTGCATTTTAAGGCAAGAGGAATATTATTGTGCAACAGTATACAGCTTACAGTTTGTGGAAGTAGCCTTAAGGGTGATTCTACTCCTTAACAGTCATACAGTTTGTCTGAATTTCAAAACAACATATTCAGAAACTGTAGTAGGTGGCACACTGGTGCAGTAATTAGCATTGTTACCTCAACAATTGACTATAATTTCTTGTCTTTGTTTTGGAAGTGTGCAGCTGCTCCATGTGTCGCTAATACATGCATTGGACCCATGTTAAAATACAGCCTGTTGCCTTGCTTTGCTTGTAGTACTGTACTACAAAATGACCAGAATCTACAAAGCCGGTTTACTGTAAACTGAAGGCACATTTCTAGTTAAAGAGTCATGAAAGAATTACTTCATAGAATATAGGGATGCAGTGTCAATGCCTAGATCCACCTATTTTTCTTATAAAGAAGAATGCTTGATTTAGCCATAAATCTGTTGCTAAAGCCAAGGTCTCCTATCACATTACCTGCTTCATCTTATTTGTGCAGTGTTTTAATGCTTTTTTAAAACTAAACTTAGGCTCCTTAGGTTTGGAATATCTGGCATTTGTTGTTCAACTTTAGACCATCGCAAATGGGGTGCTCCACGCCATTGTTTTCTTCTGGTTTTGCTTTTTCTTAATTTGCTTGTTTTTTTTTTTTGGCTATTGTGATATAGTTTGACTGCATTTAAACATCATATTATTATAATTGTTATTGTGATGACATCACATGGAAACACATCTACCTTACATAATCATTGACAGTTCTAATGTGTGGGGCAAATGTCAAAAATCTAAAACTTGAATAGTTTGTAGGGAAGAAAGATGACAAAGGTTTTATTCTGGTAATTCAGGCACTTTCATTTCCTTGCCTTATAGACCATATCCTATACCAGCAAGTATGCTCTGCCAGATGACAGTAAAACACAAGAAATCTTGATTCGCCGTCATGCCAGCATGAGGAAAAGTTTGAGAGGAAGAAGCTTACAGAGACCCGTGAGTTTTTAAGAATAATACTTTACACAGATCAGATGTGCTTTCTAAAGGAATAGCTTTGTTTTGATTGGGAAGTATTCTAATTAAATGACTCAATATGTATTGTGTGTGCAATCTGATCCTGATGCATACAGGGGAAAACAGGGCCTTAGTAAATAAAAGAGGTTTATTTTGCTGTTTCACAAGAACCCAGTTTTAATGTGAGGTTACAGCTGGTTCCAGTGAAATACTATAATTTAGACTAAGAACATTTCTGTTTTTGCATGAGGCCTTTTTGTACTTAATCTGACCTTGATTGTGATGGTCTGAGGTGCATCCTGAAGACTCTGGCATCTGTACCAGCCTTTCCCTGATGCCTCCCCTCCCACCCCTAGTGTTCTGGGTACAAATACAGTACCTCCTGTTCCCTGTTTTACAGTAAAATCACTTCCACATAGACTCTTGTTCTCTTTGCTCCATGTTGAACTTTTAATTCAGAAAGTCCCTAGGGTTGAATTAAAATAAGCAATGTGAGTATGCTTGCAGCATTAATGGACTTGTGCCATTTTGACAAGATTGGTTTCAAACTGTGTAGGAGCTTAAAAGTAATACGTTCTACTCTTGAATAGGTTGTAGAAAATGAATTAATATCAATACTACAGCATTAATCCAAAGCAACATGGGATTAGTGGTAAGAAAACCTTTTGTCCTCAGCCAAAGCATGTCAGCTAATAAGCAGTACTCACTATCCTTTTTCTACAGTGGTTTCATGGCTCTATCTTGGTGAACTGTGTATTGGTGTAAGGGTTATGGACATATACAGTACCATTAGCAATTGAATGAGATCCTCAGATTGATTAACTGCTAGCAACCAAACAAACTAGGCTGGTTAAATGGACCCTTCTCATTTGTATGACTTATTATGTTCTAAAACAACAGCAACCACCCACCTCGAAACCTCAATAGGCACCTGAATGGAACACACCTTTTCCGTTTTATTTATACTTTGTTTTCCCCCCATTCTGGCTGTGTACTATGAGAAGTATTCACATTACATTGTTGTAATTTTCCTCACAGGTCATTGCCAAGTCACACAAATACTTTTCACTCCCTGCTGGCCAGAGTCTTGTGCACAGAAAAACCAGTTTTGCAGGTATGGTTTGAGATGTCACATCCTGTTACTCTGAATTTATCATTTGTTCAGTCAAATTAATTGTAGGAGAAGCCCGGTGTCCCATTCAAATTTCTGGGACACAAAAACTTTAAAAATTTAAATAAAACACAAGTTTGAAATACTACTTAATTATTCATTGTATTTATGTAACACCTTTCATCCCAGAAGACCAGAAGCAAAAGTGCTTTTCTGTCTTTCAGTTTCTTGAATAATTATTTAGTGATAACCTTTCAATTAAAGTTATCTGCTGTTAATTCGGATTGGTGACTCCTTTTGATATGGTGAAGTATTGTGCAGCCTCTCCAAACTGTCCTCAGACAGTAACTCTCTCTTCTCACCTTTTCCTCTAAAAAACACAAATGGGCAGCACACTGCAAACTCTGCTTACCTCTTAGCACTCACTGCTTGACATCCACCAGTCTAGCCTGCATCTCGCAGACTCTGAGTAAACCTGAGTTACTGATGCTTTTTAATTAGTTAATGCTGCGTACCTCTCTTTTGTTTTCTCTTTTCGTGACCTGCGGCTTTTGAATGTATGTCACACTAGCCTTCTGGCAGCAGCACTTGCTGATCTGGAATCTCTGGTAACTCTTACATCTGCTTTGGCAATTTCACTAACCAGGATCCCTGGTGTGACTTTGCACCTCACTCGCTCTCTGCTGGTGTCTCCCAAGGCTCGGTACATCGCTAGTCTCTATTTACACTTGCTGCCGAGGACAAAGGCTTTCCATATCACGTTTCTATGGGTGACTAAGATCCTCTTTTCTTACCTCTAACTCCTTTTATCTCCTGTTGGATGCATTCTCATACTTTGCCTTTCTAAACCTGACCTTTTCCTCTTTCCCTTTCTGCCGACTTCTCCCTCTCTAGTCCTCTTGATTCCTCCACCCTTTGCCCCCAAGAACCTATCAATCATTTTAAACCCCTTGCCCATTCCCATCACATTTCTGCCCTGGCTTGCTCCTGCCACTTCTTCTTGGGAGATATCTGCCAGATCTAACCTTATGCATTTGTCACTACAGCTAGGTCAGGTCCTCATGCTCCCCCACCTGGACCATTGCAAATGACTCCTGGTCATCCCTATTCACCTTCTCAACTTGCTCAGAACTCAGAATCTGGCTGGTCTTTTCTCTACCTTGCTACCTAGTGCCATACCGTTACTCTCCATTGACTCTGACATTTCCTAACACTCATTCGTGGCTGTTGCTGTCTTAGCCCGCTCTGCCCCACTCTATTTCCAGCATGGCAGCCCGAGCTCTCTGCCCCTCTTCCTCTGCCACACTGTTGTCCCTCCGCTATGCTCCCTCATTTTCAGGACCTGTTTGTTCATTTTCACAGTGGTAGAAGGAACTAACCATTGAAATCAGAGCTGCTTAGTGTCTGCTTTCAGCATCTCCTGAAGACTCCCAGCCCTGTGTAGTTGTCTTACCTACTGTACAACATGTTTACTGCTCGATGGTCTTTGTTTTCACTCTAGTCTGTGCTGCATAGCCATTGCGTTTACCTGCAATCATTTTATGCTTATTTTCTTCTGTATTTGAATGATTTCTTAACACATTATTTTGTAAGTTGCACTGCCTTAACTGCATGCAATCTTTATTTTAAATATTTGGTTGTAAATATGGCAGTTTTTAAATGTAGCTTGATCAACCATTTGCAACTTTCAGATTAAAGCTCCTTTTTAGGAGCTATAAAATAACAATGTATCTCCCATCCATCTGGGGAACTTCCAGGTGGGAAATCACAGTTTGACAGGAACCTCCAGGTCCATTGGGGAAAACATCTGTGACACAGCTTTAATGTGGAAAGTTCCCCTGAGCCATGCTGCTAGAAACTAGAATTATCTATCCCATTATTAAAGAAATAAGCTAAAATATTACTGTTAACACTGACTGCTGTAAGCATATTATACTTTTTTACATTTTTAAAATGCAAAACAATATATTGAAAATGGTCTATATTTTACACCTCAGATCTCTAAATAGTTTGGAATTCCTAAAGGTCCACTTCAGTTCAGTTAATGAATCAGTTTCTCTTCTCCACGTGATGTGCTGTGCAGTGGAGCTTGTGGTGCGTGATGACTTCCACTCAGCTCCCAGGAGTGTGCAGTGGGTCCTGTCCCATACATGACCTCCCTTGAGGTGAAATGTGTTATGTACTGTAGTATAAAAGCTAATAGCTGTTATTATTAGCAGATACAGAAAACATTTTATAGGAAATGGGGGGAAAATACGCTTGGATGAAAATAACTTCTCAATTCTGGTCTAAAAAATCCAAGACACAGGTAGGTACGTACTGCTGTACAACCTGAACCCACTGTATGTAAATACAGTATAATGTACAGTATGCTGTATTTTTGTCATGGAAGCATCAAAACTCTTCATCAATATGAAGACTAGTATTTCACTGAGCTTTTTATTCTCCTCATAATTTCCTTATTATGCACTGACTGTACAAATCCAGCCATTCAAAATGAGCGAGGTACTCTGCGTTAAACGTGGTGGACATGGCACAATATTCCACAATCTGCCGCGTTTTTATTGTATTGGGTTTTACTGTATGTGGATTGCTGGGTGTTAAGGGGGGGATATGCTATGTAACCCTTTTTTTAATCTCAGCTAGCGAAGTCCTACCCCTGAAGAACTCTTCTGGCAGTCCCAGTGTGCTACCCAGAGCTGCACGACCAGCCAGAGCACCAGACCCTTCAAGGCCCATGATGCCACTCAGGAGACTGAACACTGTGAGGGAGGTGCCCAATTCCAGGAACCGCCAGACCCCACTGTTGCATATTGAAGTTGAAGGAGAAGCTCGGAGGGGTCTGGGCTCCAAGAGGCAATGCTCAAGCGCCAGCGACTCCCGGGTTTCCATGCCAAGGCGGCACTTCGGTTTTCTCGCTGACGGAGCCTCAGACGACAACAAAAATAAGGTTGAGGAGGAACTTCAGCCGCCTGTTGGCTGGGCCCCAGAGTCGCGGGATCCCAGGGACAAAGGAGCTAGCAACCCTCTGCTGCGAAGACCATGGGATTCACAAAGGCCCTGAGCAAGCAGTCCCACAGTGGACCTGGGAGCCTCCTCCCCCTCAGTCTGGGATTAGAGCTACTGTAGTAGGTGCGCTAACGGTTAGCTTGTGAGCCTAGTATTTTAAACTTTTAAAAATTTCATTCTGGTAAGTAATTGCTACTTTTTTGAAAGACTCAGTTAAACTGAATGTATTAGAATCTTCCACTGTAAGAATCATACATGTACTGTGTGTGTGTGTATATATATATGCTATATAAGAATAATAATATGAGTGCTCTTCTTCAATATATGCAATATTCAGTATAATGTTGTATGTGACTTTATGATAAGATGAGCACTATGCTTACTCCACATCAAAAGTAAAAAAACCTCTGTGCACTCTTATTCAAAGAATCATACATGTCTCTAGAAGGATCAGTAAGACAGAAGAAAAGATCATATACTGTACTGTTTGAGTGAATAATCCTTAAATGAAATGGTCATTCTTAAAAGAAACCTACCACTTATTTAAATTTGTCATCTGTCCCTTTTCCCATTTATTGTATTTGAGTGTCTACAATCATTCTTTATGATACAGGTCAGCAATTTTTTTTACCTTAAAGTATATTTGAGCGTTTTGAAGTTCTGAATGATCCTGAAGTTGCTCCCTTTTAAACATGTGTACCTTAAAATCCAGTCATGTTCATGCAAGGCCATATCAGTTTATCATTGTTATTATTATCGTTGTATGGAAACTGTATTTTGTGGACTCTAATGTTCTACTTAGAAAAGTCCATAATTAAAATCTTATTTACATTACTATATCTAATGCGCATTTCCCATTTAGTAGAAAATATCAATCAAATTGTCTAAGCCCCGCTATAGTGGACTAGAGCCTCTGCATTTCCACTTTACATCTGTGATAAAACCTACATGTCCTTATAATTGCTTGATGTTGCAGAAATAAAAACTAAACCAACATTACAATTAGTGACTTCCACCCTATCCAAATTGCAAAATAGTGAAAAATATCAATGTAACTTGCATGACAGCAATTTTTGTCACTTCGGGACAACTTGGTCATTTTTTTTTAATTCCCTTCAAGATTTTATTGTTTAGCATAACAATTCATATGCAGGGCACCTCTCCCTACTCTGCACTCCTTCATGAAACTTGGTTAGGTCTGGAAAACATTGACTTATTTTCAAACTATGTAATACACACATTTCTGTTAGAATTTTGTTAGACTTAAAGAATCATACATAACCAATGAACAGGAAAAGCATGTGTACTGTACTACACCCTTTTAAACAAGTCCTGTAGCTGATAAGGCATCTGGGAAAACCTTGCACTTACAGTACCACAAGGTGATAAGCTAACTACTTCACTCCTTGTGCTCTTGATTAAAGAAATGCAGAAACTACTGATTGCACATGGACAATTCCAGCACAGTACTTTCTTTGTGCTTTCCACAACAGGACTGCAGTGTAGCTTTGGTGCCTTCTTAGTGGAAATTGGTGCTGTGTTTCCAAAACAACATAAATATCTGGAGTTGACAACCACGTTAAAATTAATTGAGCTACTTAGTAGAAATGAACATTTTTACCAGTAAAAAGTATAATTTTAATGCCAATGAATAAAGGTTCTTCAGTAACTGTTCATCTAGTGACTAATGTTGGAAGGTGCTACTTAGAATGCTATATTACCATTCTAAGTGAATATATGAAGAAAGCAATAAGTTATTTTTATCCATTCATGCTAAGCACAGGTTTAACTTGAAAGGTGAGTAGAAGTGATTCATTGCTGCACAGTTCTGAATGCAAGGAAGTTTCAGAGAGATTGTATTAACTTCACTGGCATTCTTAAAAAGGGATGTATATGTATGGAATCTAGATTAAACTGTTTTTTTACTAAGTGGACACCATGGATATTTCTGAAATGTCTGTATGTTGTGAAAAAAAGTGTTTCATGGGAATTGTTTTTTTTTTAGTTTATGAAACGTGAAGGGACAGGGGTATCAGAATTGTGCTTAAGGAAGGTGTCAGTAAAGTTGTCCCTTAACTTAACTTTCCTACATCTTTTTGCAGTATGTTGATACAACACACCATTTCCTGGTCTCTACTGAAGGTGATAAATTTGCTTGCTGTCACAATGGTTTACTATATATATGGTATATTGTAGATTAAGCTAAAGTTAAAGAATCCTACAGAGCAGTCTTCTGTTTAAGAAGGAAGACTTCCCCTGTATACTGTATCACAGTATTTATGCTATAAATTTGGAAACACTTCACATAAACAAACTATTTTAGTTGTTTTAAAAATAAAAAAAGTTCTACTTTGAAATGAATGGTGTAATGAAGCATAATGTGATTTTTAAAAATAAATCTGGTTTCCTTTCATTAGTAGTACTCTTATGAAAATTGATTTACAAGCATTACATCCTGTATAAATACACAGTCACTTTCTGTTTACCTTACCTTTTTACTGAACCGGTCAAGACAGAAGATGGAAATGTGAGCGAAAGGGAGAGCTGAACGTAGAAAACTGTTAAAGGTTATGATGCTAATTAATACGTATGTTTCTGTCCAAATGGTTCAATATAGATTTAATGGCAGTCTTTTACTGACACCTAGTGGACAGCTGTGTTTTCCTCCAAGCAAGCATACACATAAACAAGTGTGTCTCTAAAATTAGTTATTATAAATCACTAAATTCAAGTTTATCCCCAGCGAAAGATGCCAGGCATCCCTTATTTTGGCACACAACACTGTAACCGAAGCAAAGACAGATGTATCTATATAACATTAAGACAAAGAAGGTTATTTATGGTTGCTGTAAATGATCTCCAGCTGATTATAATTAACAAAAGGAATTTAGTACAGCAGAGGTGTTCTCCTCAAGTCAAACTGTGTGTGGGCCTCAGTTGTTGCGAGTCACTGGCACTGCTCCTTTGGTGTGGTAGTGTATGGTTTCAGAAGAGTCGCAGTGAGGTGTGGTAGTATTGAGGGTTCCAAGATTTCAACTGTACAACGCAGCACTTTATAACCACTGATTTATAAATTAACATTTTAGTAGAGAAAGGGATACTAGTGTTAAACAATACCATTGTTATTGCACAAGTACTGGTATTAAATGATTTCATTTGCACATTTCCCTGTCAGACTAATTAGATGGCAAGGTTAATACAACACTTGTAGTTATACAACTCTAACCCTAAGCATTTTAAGTATTAAAGGGAAAAATGTGTCTTTACAATGCTCATGTTACAGAACCTTTGGTACACAGGACAGATACTGCACGGAAAAGATGGTTTCCTTTTTAGGCCATAGAAACTCCTTAGGTGTTGTATTCTGAGTAGATCTAAACATGGACATAACATTTCTTCCACAATTAGTTGTTTGGGAGACTTAAAAAATAAAAATGTCCACTTTAATTTTGATTTATATTCAGTACTATAACTTATACACTCTAGTAACAAGTAGACATAGGAACTGTGAACAGCAGATTAGAAAAGACAAACATAATGAGCTTGAAACAGTGCTGTAAAGAGAGCATTACAATGCAAATGTCCACTAAGTACTGTATATCTGAAATTATCTGAGGTGTGTTCTTATAAGTACAAATTAGAATTAGCTATTCAATTTAACTTTAAACATTAAAATATAGCAGTATATCCTGTAATACCACACAATACCAGTAAGAATACACATAGCCACCATAACATGTCTATTTCCTTGCTCAGCCTCATTAACTTTCATAGACTCAATACTTTTGAAATAAGGCTGGATTTTGATTATCAGCTTCCACAGATGAATCTCACACACCTAAGGGTGTCATTTCATCAAGGAGTAAAAGAAAAAAAAGGAATCATTCACTCCTATGCTCTCTCAAGTAACAAAATCAGCCACTTACTGTGCACTATTTTTCCATGATCAAAAAATAAAAAAATAATACAGCTATGTGTGGCACACTTGAAATTAAAAACAAACAAAACATACTGTATTTGACTGTTAGAGTACATAATGCAGCAATACACAAACAGCCTTCAGAATCACTTGACTCTTTAGTCTGTGGTGGATCTGTTTGTTTTTGGAGAGTAAAGATATTTTAACACTCCATGCCAAGCTGCCTAGTTCTGACTGACCCCTGTTACTGGGCACTTGCTGTTTCAACAGAACAAGTGTTGAACAAGTTATCTTCAAAACAGATAAAGAACAATTAATGTGTCTTCGTATCCCTGCAATACAAAGAAACAATATTGCAGTATACTGTACATGAAAAAACACTAAGAACCTGGAAAATTTAGCTCTACTTAGATTTTAAAACACTTTTATATTTATAAATATTTAAATACTGTATTATTCATATTTGGATGGTGTATTATAATTGTTTATAAATAACAAAAGAAACATGAAGACTTATTAAATATTTTACCATTTATACTTCTATCCATTGTAATAAAAAATTGGAACTGTTTTCAGTATTTTTCTAAACATTGCATGTACAGCTTACTATTCCAGCCTGCTTTTCATGAATCCCTATTATTGTAGAATAAGAATGACAGCAAGAAGTGACATGATTAGTGGTTATAGGTCGAAGTTAGAACACAAAGCGATACTGAGCATCCAGGCTGTTTGCAGGGATGAAACTGCCCTTCTTTGTGAAGATCATAGTTTCAGTTTTATCTGTTTCTTTGAGCAATAACAATCTCTGCCAATTCCCTACTCTTCTTGTATCATATGCCATGGGTGACCAGGAGACAGTATATTGTGTATGACATTGTGTTTGGTCTTAGGGAGTATGTCCTAGAAGGAGCAAGCCAAACAAACCTGTGTGTCTTTGGGAGCTGGGAGTAAACCACAAAAGCTAAAGAAAACCTGTGCAAATATAGGGATAACATGAAATTACACACACACAGAAACTTGCACAGAAGCAAACTCAGGGCCCAACAGTTGTGAGACAGCAACTCTTACAGCCATAACACAGAAACATTTTAATTTTAAAATTTAGGTAAATTTTAGTTTAGATATACCTGACCATATTATAATTATCTTATAATTGCTTAAATATTACTTTAAACAACTCTTTTATGTTAAAGACAAGAAAAGATATTGCTTCTGTTGTGAAAATGTCAAGTTAGTTTACACTTCTCATCTTTACAACAAATTAAAATGTATTATGAGTTCCCATACTGTAGCCAGAAGTTCCCACTAAGGACCTACACCAGAACATAAAATAAATCAATAAAAATAATACTAATAAAAAAACTGATGCTGGTGAGCATGTGGAAACAAGCTAGTCCTGATGAGTATTACAGAATAAACCCAGAGTTTCCAACAGATTAACCTTGGATGTACACAGGAAGACAACAGCGGAATGTCCAACCCTCGGTCGTCTCCTCCCGTTTGTCAAAGGTTCGGATGTCTTTTTTCGCCCTTAGCGCCTCGTGGCTTTTTTAAGATCAGCAGCAACACAGCCGCCAGCGCCAACACCACTCCGAGGCTCGGAGGGCCACACGGACTAAACTCCTGGGCGAAGCCTGAAAGCAAAGGAGCGAGCACTCGCCCCACCGCTGTCACCGACTGCCCCGCCCCAATCAAAGTGCCGCTGGCCTGCGCCCCGCCGAGCCTCAGCTCCAGGTCTGTGATGCATGTCCTGCCAATCGTGGTGGAGATGGCGAAGAACGTGGAGCAGAGGACCACCTGCCACACACTGGGGGCTGTGGCATACAGGAATATTAGTGAGCAAGTCAGGATGCTTGAGTGTAACAGCATAGAAGACATGTCATTGTGGTACAGTTTGGTCACCGGCCCCACCAGGAAGCCCGCAAGGGCTCCGAGGGTGCTGCTGTAGCTGATGAGATAGCCCGTCACCTTCGGTTTCAGTGCGAACCTTTCTTCCAGGGCCAGAGAGAAGTTGCTGTAGTAGAGCATGATGGCAATGGCCATGAGGAGTCGGACCAAGAAGACGTCCCACATATCCGAAGAGGAAAGTGCTCTGATCTTCAGCAGGACTGAGGAGCACTGCTTCCAAGCAGGCTGGAAAAACCTCTCTCGGGGGGCTGCAGATTCTTTTACGTGGTCACTGTCCTCGTGTTTCCGTTTGATATTATTGCTACTGCCTTTGCTGGTTTTAGCGGTGGCAAGGTCCGTTTTTTTAAAAGTGTCGTTCCATGGCAACATCCACACAAGACCTAAAGAATTCAACAAAGAAATATTACCATTTTTATGCAAAATTGCATCAGAGTGCCTTACAGGGTTACAGAGATTTTATGTGTAGAAAAGCCAAGCACAGGAATTTGACTTCCACATCAACTTTGCTACTTGTGCTCCATGTTTTTTATAACATCAGAAAAACCACAAGTGAGAGGAGACCGTTTATCCTGTCATACTTATTTGGTTCTGTGGCTCTATAGCCACCCGCCCTTCCAAAATGAAAACACAGTGAAACCCACTGTGGACAGGGAAAGGACAATTCAGAGCAGCCAATCACACCTCAACTGCAAGTCTTTAGGAGGTGGGAAGAAACCGGAGCATGCAGCAAAAACTTAAAAAACCAACACCTCAAGCTGAAATCCATTCCAGTAGCTGTGGTGCATCCTGCCACCCCTTGTTTTGGTGTAGGAGAGAGTTACCTTCCCCTCCTCTGAAGATAGACTCCCCTTTTCATACTCACACAGCCAGTTATGAACCTGCCCTATGATATGATAAAGCTCTGCCTACTATAAACCACAGAGTGACAGAGCACCTATACCCATTAAAATAAAACTACAACCAATTAACACCACTACCATAGATAACCTCATGCACAATGTACCTGCATTTAAAAGAAAAATTCCTGAGCAGATGAATGAAGAAGTGTAGAAACCACCTTCATGCTCTGTGAGGTAGCCTCCCACCACTGGGCCTAAAATAAAGCCCACACTGGAAGCTGCATTAAAATGGCCCATCACCAGGGGGCGCTCTGTCTCTGACACCAAGTCAGACAAAAGAGCCCTGCAGATGGAAAGGGAATGTTTGAAGATCCCTGAAAAAAAAAGCTTAAAATAAATAAACAGTTAAAATAAAAGTGGACAGAAGTCTTGCTATAACGTAAAATTACCTAAATATTAGAGAATACTGTTGATTACAGCTATTTGGTAACTGTCAGTCTTTCAAATATTTTACTAAAGGAAAAACTGAATATTTTACATTATATTTACATATGGCAAATTTAAAGAAAGATTATCTGGAGAAAACCTTGAGATGAATTTAGATATTTATTTTCATTTAGATTTTTCTTTAATTCTAAATTCCAGAAAACCACATCTTCAGAAATAAGTTTATGAGTTTATCTTCAGAAATGAAGTCTGTGGTTGCAGTCATTAAAAAAGCAAGACTGCAAGACAAAATACACATCCCACATGCTGTCTTTATAATTTTAATAACATGTTTTATTTTAAAGAGGTGCTGCAAGTCATGCCTTTATTAAATGTTCAGCTTAGTAGCATTTAAGCTCTTCTGCCAAATGACACACTTACCCACTGGAATTCTTGCCACTATGAATAAAACAATATTGGTGGAGAGCCCAAGCAGGCCATATCCCAAAGCACTCAGCAAAATACAGGTCACCAAAGAGTAACGTCTTCCTACCACATCACTCCAGCTGCCCTGGTAAACATATATTAGAAGCATGTAAGGCATTGGACTTAGGATTTCAGTGTTTGGAGTTAACATGCCCAGCTGAGAAAACGCCAGCCTGGTCAGAAAGGTCAAGACTGACAAAGCCCCCCTCACTTGTGAAGAGTGGACCTGTAAGATTGCTGCAAGGTGGTGATGGTGTGGAGGGAAGGGAAGATGCGCACCAAAAGGTGCCCAGTAGGCAAGTATTTAATGTAAGAGAGTGGAAGTATGAGAACACACTTTGACCTCCCGAATGTCTCTTTAATAGTGCCTTATGGTAAACAACATTAATGAAACTTCATAAATACAGTCCAGTTTCTACTATTTAGATCAGAAAAGTTCAGACAGCATCAATTATCTAAGGCTCAACAGATTGAGAACCATGCCATCTACAATATCTGATTATTAAATTAGATGTGCCCAAGCCTGACCCTGTGGAGCCTTTTTGGTTTGAGTCACTACCGCCAATGATCAAAGGGCAGCACAAAACTGTCTTTCACAGGGCAAAGAGGCAACATAACCTGGTGTAGAATTCACTCCTTGCATCACAGCAGCTGTAGCTAAGGGTACGCCTTGAAAGACAGAACTGCGACATCAAGCGTTTACCTTTCTCATCTCCTTTAAAACCCTGTTAAAGAAATCAATCGGCTTGATTTGTTTTACAACAATGTTGACAACCTTTGGGTTGTCAGAAAAAGAGATTTTAAGGATTTCAGTTTTAGAAAAATAGAGCACTTCTTACAATATTGTTTTAGAACTGAGATGTAAGCTCAGTAATTGTCTTGGTGTGATATGCAGCATGACAGCACAACAAGAAGTAATAAGAAATATTTAGCTTTTAGAGAAAATATCACTCACTTGAGCAAGAACTCAATGTAGTAAAAAACTTAGTATTGAAAAACAAGGCTTTCTTAGCAACATTAGATAGGCATCTTGATTCCTGCCTTTTATCTCTTAGGTATGAAAATCAAATAAATTGCATAATTGTGTAATAAGATCAAACCAATTGAATTTACCTTAATAAGTTCTGTGCTTACCATAGACCTGGCTGTTTTTATTCAAAGTCACAAGGCATAGTATAAATGTGTAAATGTAAAATGTGCTGTCACAGTATAAATGAGTTCTTTTAGTATACAGTCTCATGACACATATGATTTAAACTAAATTAAAAACCATTTTTTTTCTTTTTAAAAGTAAACTTGCTCACAAAGAGTGTCTGTTTTAGAGAGCCCTATATGATGTGAAAATGATAACAAGGATAGAACTCAATATCTAGACCCTCACAGCCTAAATAATTATGAGATGGTACTTAACCTGCTTGAGAACACATATGACTTCTGATGCAAAATATAGTATAGTATACAATATAGAATATAGTATACCGTGTATAAAGACATGATGGTTCATGTAGCACATTAAGTTATCCATCAAAAAACATAAAATCATTTTTTTCAACAACTTGAACATGCTAATTTAAAGGAGTAAAATACAGTATATGTATTTCTCTGTTATTATTTCTGTCTGTGTTTGTTTAGACTTACTGTAGATTGCTTTGCCTTATACTTATGAGCCTCCATAAACCATACACTTAGGGAAAACACATTCCATTACTCATTACTGCAGAACTCTTGCTTCTCCAAATTTAACAATACACACAAAAGCATCAGGCTGCTCTTCCCTCACAGTAAATTCTACTTAGTCTCAGGTTTAGTGCTACAGTATCTGTTAAGGTTTTTCATGCTGCCTATGCAATTAAGGTTCAGCACTTGACATTCAACAGATGCTTAAAAGTGTTGTGTACCGCTCATGCGAGAGCAGGAGAAATGACCTTTGATAATATTACTTGTGGTGATTCTGACCACATTAGCAAGGAGGATCTGGAATACCCTATAGAAGCTCAAAATTATACAACAATGCTTTGTTCACTAAAAACAGGGACTGTTAATAACCTAGGGTAACCATCTATTAAGTTATGAAACAAAAAGAAGTGCAGTGGGTTTTCATGAAAGGTACACTAAGATACCAGGCTCAGAAGTATTGCTCAGTTGTGCAAAATTGAACTAAAAAGCAGGCTGCAGACTCAGCCTTACACAGATCCAGGCTTCTGTCCCAGAAAAAAAAGTCAATGTCCTTTGAATGAGGCATAAAACATCCGTGGCCATTAAAAATTCCAGGGCGTTTATCGAAAACAGCAGAGGTCTAACCCAGCTTCCTGGCCAAATTTCCCTCTGACCTTAACCAATCATGGCCTCCTAATATTCTCTATCTATGTATTGGCTTAATTATTCCTTTCTCCTCCCCACTAACGTGTGGTGAGTGTACTTAGCTATGGGTGCCGTTGCATTATTCAGGTGGGGCTGCACATTGGGGGTGAAACAGGGGAGTCCTCATTACCTGTAAAGCTCTTTGAATGGAGTGTTGAAAAAAGCTCTTTCTAAGTGTAAGGAATCATAAAGGAATCATCAAGTGTGAAAGACAATTTGCCTGAGCAGTGAGAAGAAGGCATTATACCATAGGCCAATCAACCAATCAGACTTATCAGTCTTAGGGTTGACAACACAAAAAAATACAACTTAAGGTTTTCCAAAAAGAGATAATACTCACAACTAATGTACTGGAAAAAAGCTGAAGGATGCCATAAGTGGAACCTGAAACCATATCAAATAAATAATGTTAACATACCTTGTTTTGAAGATAGCTTGAAACATGAGAAACAAATTAATGATGCCACTTAAATTACATTTGAATGATTTCAGTTTCCTATATTAAATCACAATTCTTTTTATTGTTTTATGATACTTATTTTCCCCAAAGACTTGCTTTTTCAACACAGTACTACCACTTCAATGTTAAAAGAAAAATATATGTTTGAACAAATGAGAACATATGAGAACAAATGAGGGGAAGCCATTCGGCTCATCTAGCACAATTGGTAGTTAATTACCAAAAAAAAAACAGTTAGCAGTTAATTAATCAAACGATCTCATCCAACAGTTTCCTGAAAACAAAACAGCTCAACTGCATGGCTGGAAAGTTTGTTGGATACTTCCACAACCCTTAGGATGAAGAAGCACCCCCTGTTCTTGGATATAAATTAATGAGAAAACAAAAATAACCCCACATAATTCCTGATCATTAGGGAGGAATGTTTCCCTTCTCTTAACAGCTCCAGAAATGGCCCATATGAGTCAGTATGCAGATTTTGAACCAAGGGCATTTTTTTGACAAGCCTTAGGCTTCAGAGTTACTAACTTTCCACTTTTTTGTGCACTTGGGTCATATTTCACTGTCCATCCTGAAGGTTTAATGCAATTACTAATACCCTGCAGCTTTGATGACATAGAAGGTTTAATGTGATAATTGATATACTTTGTATTTAGACCATCAGATGATCTTTGGATTGGTTAACTTCCCTGTTCTTTATTTTTCCACAAAACATTCATCAGACCATGTTGCTGCTGCATTTCAACATGTACTGTAAAAGAGTACTCCATCTCACACAATTGCACTGCTTCAGTTTTCCTTAGTCTGATCTTTAAAGACTAAATAGGAATAAAAAAAGATCATGAAGAAAACATAATACTTACCCACTATTCCAGCAACTGTAGGAGTTGCCCCAAGTGACTTTACATGATGACTTAGTAAAGGAACAATCATGCTCACGCCAAAAAGGTCCTGGAAAAAAAAAGATTTTGACGTGTTTGCTGTATAAGGAACACATTACATAATCAATAAATGAATGTCAACTGTTGGCTCTTTATAATGCAGCCATTAACATTGAGGGATCGTTAGAAGCATCCTACAACCGAAAGGGTTGAAAAAGCTTCTGTCATCAAACCACCATAATCTTTTCTTTAAAACCCATAATCGGTTGCAGTGTCCTATTTACTGTATAACCTGCATTGTAATATTACAACAGCGCAATGATACAGTGTTTACAGTCTACGCTATATACAGTACATGGCTGTATATACAGTACTGTACTATAATGTCTTAATTCACCGGCTCAGCCCATCAGGAGAGGAGACACATTCATAAGGCCAGCCTTGAGGACTACTGTCTCCTACCTAGGAAGTGACATCAACTGAAAAACCATCCACAACCTACTACATACTGTAGATGATCCTCTTTCCAAAAGTCTTGACTAGTGTGCCTGTTGCATCATTCACTTTATTACTGTTTACTACTGGTGCAGATTCTCAAGAACAGGAGCTTAATTTTCAATCTTGATTCATAACAAAGTACATCATGCTTTGCATTCCAGAGAGCCACCAGTATAATACAGACCAGTGCAAATACAGTATGATGCCTAAAAGCTTTCTTCATGTCTTCCTGTAGTTACTGTGCTCAAAACATGCTACAATAACCTCATGTCCAAATCAATAAGTAACTCAAACTTCAGTGCAAAAGTAGCATGGAAAATAAAAAAGGAAAACCTAATCAGTATTTTTAGGTAGCCATGTGACCATCAAACGTTTGTACAAATGTTTCCAATTAATTTGCCACTAAGATATTTATTTAAAAGTTACAGAACAAGTTATGAGGTTACTTCATACTGTATGTAAAGCAAACTTTTTCTTTAAAAATAAAATCAGCACTGTACATACAGTACAGTTATAGTGTGCAAATGCTAATCATATCTCCTCATTAAAGGGTTGTAGTATTTATTTTAAAAAAAACACCCTCAAAGCAGAATGGATTGATAGATTCTTATTTAATCAAAAGAGCAACCACATATGCTAGCACAGTTCAAATTCTGTTACACTAACAGCTTAAAAGAGAGGATACCGAAATAACATAATTCACACCCTAGACTATTATTTTGGCAACATTAAATCTTTTAAAAAAACATACATTACTGTATAAGATCAGTCCTGACTGAGAATTAGATACATGCTGTACACAGAGCATCAAACAATATCAGTTAAACGTACAACACATTCACAGTTACTATCAGGAAAGAGACAATCACGGTGTTATTGCACAGATGTCAGTCTGATCCATGAATGGTCTGTAATTTCATCAAAATCTAGCCAAAAACATTTTCAATATTTAAAGCCTTTATTTTTTTAAAGAAGCTTAAAATCTGTTGACGCTCGGTATATCAAACACTCTCAAACGTCATCACTTGAAGGTGTTTATTTTTTTCATATGACCCTTTTTCCTTGCAGAGTATAAAATAGTACAGCCCCTAGCGAAGGGTAATTTCAACAAGGAAACGCTCTCTATACTGTAGGTATGAACGGAAACCTTTCGGCTACAGAGTAGACTCAAGTAGACAATATGTATTACTAATCCTTTTTTAAATCACTTAAGTTATGTAAATAGCACGGCATGTTAATATTATTCGGCTCTTTTAGGAAATGCGAACTGTCACCTGTCAAATAATTCGACGAGCAGGTGATTTACTCCCAGCACTACAATCGTTAAGCATAAAAAAAGACTAGGGATACAGCGTTTCAAGAAGTGAAATACTGTCAATAACACGACTGACATTAAGAATAAACAAATCTGGAGATTTACAGGGATATTCTAATGTATTATGTGCCCTCACCGTTTTCGCATTATACACGTTTTGCTTCGTAAAATGATAGTAGAAATACAGTTGTCACTGATATCTTTAGATATGCTTTTTTTCTGGCCAGTAGAAGCTGTATTCTTACTTACGTTTTCTTGCAGAGTTGTATAAGGTTTCACTTACCATGAATCCTACAAAATACATGCACAGTATAAATCGCCTCTGTCTGAGTGGTTTCTGAAATGTGCTACATCTTGGATTAAACATTCTCCCGACTGCCAAAATTGGCAATGAATAATGCGGAAATGTGCACAGCAGCACTACGGTGAGCCAGTTACAGAGACATTCCCACCTGCCGGGTCGTGCTGTCTCGGCCGTTTTTACGTGGTTCCTGTGTGCATTTCGCTTTAAAGAAACCAAGACAAAGAGGAGTTACAAAATGTCACGCCCGTTTTCATTTCAGAACATCAGACGTTAATGCAATTTTATCCTTTAATTCTATTGCGCCGTTGTGTCCCGTATTTCACAACGGAATGTGGAAGTGGTACAGTCCAGTTGTGTTTTTGTTTACGTGGGTGGCAAGGCTACAAGAGGCGGCGGATTTGAAAAGAGAGGGCTCTTCCCGTGCAAGAGCAGATTCCGAGTCCCAAGGTGTCGTCAATACAGCTCTCGTGTTCTTGTATCTTGTCTTGTGCCTCTGCAATTCTCACGATACTTCTGTTCTGTCGGGGTCTAGAATTGGAACTGTGGAACTGCGCTGTCGCCCTTCGAACTTCGATTTCAATTGCGAAAAAAAACCCAGCTTTGTTCGGATTTCGTCGCGCGATTACATTGATTAAGCACTGCGAGGATTGCTTGTGTTTTATTTTATTTTTTTCCACTCCCAACACAGTGTAGAAAGATGCTTTTAAAACAAAAATAAAAACACTTTCGTCCAGCTTTATCAATTCAAGCAATACTTTCAGCTTTTTTTGTATTAGTATTCTTAAAATCCACTTCAAAAACCTTCAAATTAGAGTAAAACATCGTGCACAACATGCATTCCCCTGAAGCCTAAATATACGATACTTCCTAATGCAAACCACCATAAAAACAGCAAAAATAGTAGCTAAATAATCTTGTACTCCGACCCTGAGAGAAAGTATATAGACACTGTAGTGAGGCAGAGCTGTGAGTATACAGTACGGACAGACTAGGACAAATTGTATAATACAGGGGCAGGATGGCTTCTTACACTATTAGGGGAGAGGGAAGAGAGTCAGTGGTGTGGATTTTATCTGCATTGGCAAAACTGTAATTTATCAGTCATAACAATAAAACCTGTTGAATTTGAAAATTTGAATGGGACCAGGGTTTCTGACACTGGCTAAGAGAAAGGAGGTTATAGAGTTGTCAGGGGTGACTATGTTTTTTGTACAGGCAAGAGGGCTGAGGGATGATTAATTTTGTATGGTTTCCCTATTTTGTGGCTCCCCTCTGAATATTGTCTGAAGCTGTTTCTATGGTACTTATAAAAATGCAGGAAAATCTATTTTGGTCAGTAGACCTAATGACATTACACTTGTTGATTAGTGTTTCCTTTAATTCCCTATGTTTTAGAGGTCTCTCTGCATCACCTGTTCTGAAAGCATGGGGACGATTGCACCTACAGTAATACAAAAATCCGACAAGTAATCATTTTGCTAAGGAACTCGGGTTCTTAATGGTTCATACAGTATATTATATGTAATTTTATAATTTATAATAATATTGCATACAAATGGGGGTTACGAAAATGGTGAAAATAAGGAATTGGCTGGGGGGTTTAGACAATAAGTAAAATAAATATTCATAACACCCAATTTGTAAGTCATTTCTCCAGGATATACCTGAGTCGTTAGTATAATTAGAGGTATGTGAATTCTTTATTCTCTGGCACAGCTTTGGTGAAAAGAGCAATAATTCAGGCATACTTGGATAAATAAATGTTGAAAAAGGACAATTCAAACACTACAATACACCACTACACACAACACACAAATTACTATATATAGTAGTGGTGTAACCCCGGCGTCCTGGCCACATTTCCCATTGGCCCTTACCAATCATGGCCTCCTAATAATCACCCTCTATAAATTGGCTTTATAACTCTGCTCTCCTCCCCACTGATAGCTGATGTGTGGTGAGCGTTCTGGCGCACTATGGCTGCTCCCACAAGCAGGAAAGACTTCTCTAACCGAGGTATCTTCTACCCAGGAAACCCAAGTTCCCTAAAAACTCAGAATAGCAAGCTCTCTCTAGCAAGGTTCAGATATTTAGCTCCAATCAGGGTTTGTCTGGATGATCATGATAAAGGGTCTCTTGCCTGGCGCAAGCTTCAGGTTCCGACTCCTCCTGACTCCTGTCTGAAGATCTGACCTTCTTTCTCCTCCTTTACCTCTCTTCTCTCTCTCTTCCACTGTCTTCTTGTCCTTCCATCCTTCTTTCCTTCTTCTCTATTGTCTAAATGTGGTCTTATATGGTGTCCTTCTGGACTGCTCATTGTGAGTCATTTACCTGCAACTTAATTAAGTGGGTACACCAAAGTAAACTTTCCAATTGCTTTTCATCAGAGGATCCCACACATCTCAACAAACTTTCCCACTGCTTTGAAGCTGGAAGTGTCAGGTGTCACACGCTTTAGCTACAAGAGACACTTCCTAGTGACCTACTCTATAACTGTAACAAGATATATTAATTATATATGATATAGTTCATTATTATAGTACTATCCTAAAATTAAGTGACCAACCAACACCTCTTCCAGCAACAACCTTAGTTTTTCCCAGGGGGTCTCCCATCCAGGTACTGGCCAGGCTCACACCTGCTTCGCCTGCGCTCTGCAGGAGGAGGCTGGTCCTTGTCCTACAGCCAGATGTGCCCTCAGCCAAGCAGGTTAAGCCAATTATTTATGTGCCTCAACTTTTTCAGTACATTCTCGGGTGTTGTTAATCATCGTGAAAGATGTGTTGGTTGTGTTAACTGGAGTTCCTGTAGGCGTGTGTTTGTGCCTGTCCTGTCCAGGGTGTAAGTCTGTGCCTATACTTTCACATTACCATGTTTATTAACCTGTGCTTTTCTTTACCCCGAGCTAAATGTGTCACCTTCTTGATAATTAGTTTCCTTTTGCAGAAATGTGACAACTGCTCCAAGTATTATGGCTTTCATTTCAGTGTTAAAATACTTAAGCACAAAAATTACAGATACACAACACAGACTAATTTTTATATAGGAGATAGATAGATAGTATATAGATAGTACAGTATAGAGTACTAAAACGTCTTTTATGATTGATGTACATACAGTATATTTCTAGATATACTTTTTCCATTTTTCTATTTCCATTGATTGGTGAACCAGTAGGTGTATGTATTATAATGTTCATTCATTTTTCATATTTCAAAGCCAAGCAGACCTTTGCTTGGCAAAATAAGTTAAAAACTATAGCTTAACTTAAAATATGATTTTATTTTCATGAAGGTTTTTGTTTCAGCATACCCAGTGCACATCTTCATTATCTGCATACCTCTGAAAAAATATCTATATATATTTAAAAAGTATCTGTGTATATATGTGTACTTTATTGTAAATATCAGAAATATTGTTATTAAATTAAAACTTTCCCAACAGTTTAGAATGGGGGCTTCCAGCTCCAGGTTCCTCAGTTCAGAATCCAGATTTTCATTGTAACTTTAATTTGTGTACAGCTTTAACCTCTGGAGAAGGAACACCTCAGTTAAGTTAAACATTAACTGGATGCATTCAACATTTCTGCCAAGTGAAGAGCTGGAAGGATACTTGGAAAACATGTTGGATTCTGAATCCTGGATTAGATTAGAAAACCCCTGTTCATAACACATTCATAAGTTTAGTGGGCTTATTTTTATATTTGTTTTCAATAAGGTTATAACCTTTGCTAGTTATCACAGGTACTTACTTAGGATTGGTATGTACAGTAGGAGGGTTTGACGTCTATGCTCCTGCTGAAGTATTTTAGAGTGATTCCACTTTCAGAGTGGCTGCAGAGGCCAGTTGCCAGTTATTTTTGTGTTTCACCACACCCCTAAGGAGAAAGGATCTTCAATCAATATCCCAAAATAGATGGACAGTACCATTTGGCAGCCCAAGCACATGAAAGTTACTGCAACAGGAACTTAGAAATCCTTCCGACAGAAGACAGAAAGCAGAGGAGGAGGTCAAAGCTGACAGTTATGAAGCTCAGTGTTGCCTTGTTCTTTGCTGGGTTTTTTGGTGCTTTGGGTGCAGTATTCTTTTTGGCATCATTTGGGACAGATTACTGGCTCTTAGTATCTGAAACCTGTTCATCTAACCAGACTGGAAAAAAAACATTAAATGGCGCTCCTATTGAGGTGTGTGATAATTTATTTATTTTGGGGGGGGGATTCTGAGTTAACTGATTATTTGGAACAACGTTAACTTACTTTAGGCATTTTGTGTCTCTTAAGTTAAGATTTAAAAAAAAATTAAATTTGTAATGACATAATATTGTTATTTTGTTAACATTGAGCAAATTAAAAATGGGTATGTTTTAGAAATGCTTAAATATTTTAATAATAAATATAGGATTCATTTTACTTGTAATAACTCATGTAAAATGTCAGTGAAAACGTAAAAAATACAACTTTGAAATTAATTACAATATTACACAGTAAAATGAAACATTGAAAAGGCCATAAATGTTGAACACAGTATTCTCCATGAGTTTATTTGCTAGAATGATTTAAAATACTGGTTGCGATAAACATGGTAATCACTACAGTATATGGCAGTGACCTAAAAAGTCAATTAAAATTGTGAATATTGATATACAGTATAAGTCCTGTCCCTGTAGTAAGTAACCATTGTTCTAAAAATATACATGTATTCTTAAGTATTTAAAGTAATAAATACTTCTGTAAGGTGATCCAGTGTGTTTTTGACAGGGACTTCTGCTCTGGGATTAAAGCATTGGTTGTAATATCGCTCAATTTTTGAACATCAAAATCTTAATTCAACCCTTATAAAGTAAGACAGCCTTGTGAAGTACTTTTATAAATATCCCCTTGGTGGAATATCTGTGAAAATGAATATTTTTCGAAGAATGAAATAAACTATGTATGTACATGTAATCATTATTAAATTGTTATATCTATAATTATATTAACATCTTTACTAAGATTGGAAAATTGTACAATTTGGAATAATATGGCACCTGAATGCTTTGTATAAGTCACTATTCTTCTAGTGAGGTTTAAAATGAATTAGCCATGCTGTAGCTGTCTGGCGCAACACCACCACACAGTAATGTAAAATGTAATTCATGAAATGTACAGTAATTCATTCCAGTGTAGAGAGAATGAAAAAAATTACAACAGCTGCAATCTGGGTGTACACTGGGCAGCCTCGCCTGATGATCTCTCTGCATGAATAGACACAGCTATTCCAGATATTTGTTTATGCCTTTACTGCTTTATATTGTACATATATGACAGTATTTGAACCCTCCATTTGTTAGTCTCCCATTAACATTGGGCGGAGCAGTGACATTATGGCTGGAAGGTTGCCGGTTCAAATCCTGTGGCTGACAGAGGAATCCTACTCCTTTGGGCCCCTGAGCAAGGCCCTTAACCCCGGCTGCTCCAGGGGTGCTGTATAAATGGCTGACCCTGTGCTCTGACCCCAAGCTTCTCTCTCCCCGTCGGTGTGCCTGTGTGTCTCATGTAGAGCAAGCTGGGGTATGCGAAAAGACAAATTCCTATTGCAAGATATTGTATATGGCTAATTAAGTGATCTTAACGTTAGAAGAGAAAAGTTGTGGACAAGAAAAACTTTGGCTGTCTCTATCCAAGCTCCAACAATAACCAAGGAGGGTCATAATGAGCAGAAGGGTGTAAGTTAAGATGATTTGAACATACTTTAATGTTCCTTTGTTTAGCGGGGAGATGGGATGATTTCACAGAAGGACACAGATACTACGTTTTACCATGAGGGATTCTTTTGGCGATGCAGTTTTGGTGGGAAAATGGCAGAGGACAACATGTGGAAGTTCTGGTTCAGTAAGTACAGTAATCTTTACCAGAGTGATCATAAAGGATTTGTTAGAGTTGGTTGTTAAAAAGCTTACCAAAGCTTTAGAAATATACTCCTCACCCTATTAATGGATTCATTTTTACTTTTAGCCTCCTTTAAAATAATTTAATACAAGCTGCGATATCTTTTATTTGCCTGTAGGTTTTTGGTTATATTTTTATAGAGAAGAAATGGGCTTTGTAAATAATTTTATGTGTTCATATTTGTCTGCTGAAGCCACTGCCAATGGCAATTGATTTTCTTCAACAGAAATTTGTTTCATTATAAGAACAAATAAAATGCCCTTGCAAACAACAACAACAACAACAACAACTGATGAGCTTAAGACAATGTTTAAGGCGAGAGATTTAAAATATTGTCACAAATGAAGTCATTGTAAAATATAAAAACAATGAGTTTCAGTTGAGATGTTTACTAAGCTGCAGCTGAACGTACAGGCAAACACAAATGATCAAAGAGAGGTTTCTTATGAATTAATCTGGTTAGTCATAATAAAGAATAATTATCCAATACAGAGAAACTGCACAATAAGACAAGACAAGTAAAAAAGGAGATAGGACACAATAAGGAGGAAATGGAAGGAAAACTGAGAGAAACACCATCACTCTTCGCTTCCTTTAAGCTTGTGCCGTGAAAGAGGACCCTGTCCTGAATGGTTTTGGAGACAAGATTTAGGTTAAGTAATTTGAACCTTGTTATAAAGAACTTGCTGTCCTATTTATTTTATGCAATTCAGATTTCCTTTTTTGTGGAATCCTGGGGTCAATAAACATTGCATAGGGTTTCAGGTTACAGGGCATTCTGTGTTTTCAGGGTATGTAGAATGTAGGCCTCTGAGATGCATAGTTTTTATTTAGTGTAGCTGGTATACTGTATGTGCTTTTGTTCAGGACAAAAGGAGTTAACACTCTTCTGGTTTTTTTATCTTTTAAAATCCGCATTACCAAGTTAGGGTATTATTTTTGAAAGTTCACATAGAGGTGAAAATCACTCACAGAATTGTGCTGAATACATCTTTATATATACACTATATAGGGATAATTTGACAATATTTAATTAAAAATCCAAATATTTACTATGGAGTACCTCCTTTGTAGGATTTTTAAGTGAAAGTATCAAAGTTTTAGTTTATCTGCAATTTAGCATGAAGTATTGTTAGCCAGGGTAGCTCATTTTGATGATCAAATACTAACATGGATACAAAATTCAAATTTCGCATAACCAAGTGAAGCCCAAGTGAGAAAGGAAAAAATAAGTACAGGTCCTACCTTCTAGAAGATAGGTGTTCCTAATATACAAAGAAATGGAATTTGTGAATTTATGGAGTGTAGGAAACAATTAACTGAAAACAAATGGAATTTGACTGACTTCAACAGGGTAAAATCTCCCTACTTCTGTAGCTCATGAAAAAGATTATGCCTTTGTGAAATAAGTGAAGTTCTCATGATAGTTTCTCATGTTAAAGAACTGCTAACAACCAAATTAGCACAATTGAATGAAATGGCCACCTCTCATTTGTAATTTTCTTTACGCTATATAGCTTTTTAAAAGGAATAATCTGTGAATAGTGCTAATTTTTATAGATTCATGTACATCGAAGGAATATCTGCATGCTTTGCCTACTGTCCTGTAAAGGCTACTCCTTATTTATAGACAAATACAATCAAGGTATTCTGCCCTTGTGCAGTGTCATGGAAACCAAGCACATGATATAGAATAGGTCAACTAGCTATATGTCATTTCATGTTCTTTTATTGGTATATGGTATGATTTCATGATTATACTGTATGCACACTACATGTAGATTAAACCTCATTTGTTCGTATGAAGTGAAATAATATAATTTTGTTTTCTTTCCCAGCCAACCAGCCACCTTCAAAGGTCTGTACACATGCCTACCTCTTCCCATTTCCTGTTCCTACACAACCTCACAACTCCACGGCCTATGACACTGCTGTCAGTAAGTACTATGAGCCGAATTAAGTTCTCTGCAACTCCAAACATATAAAACTTATAAGACTGCAATATTAAGCTGCAATTGTTAAAAAAAATTAAGTAGAAAATATAAAAAAGTAGATGGGAACATTTTTCAGATGGCATAATTTTAGATGGTATACATAACTGTTATTACAATTTGCTGGTAGGAGGACCCAAATGAGAAAATTGCTACCTGAAAAAAAAAACTAAAAAAGGTAACACTGTAGCCGAAAGTTCCTTGCCTTTCATGGAAGGAATGGTGAAATCATATTTGGCATAAAATGCCTGATGAGTCAGTCTCGGCTCTCTTAGTTGTTATATCAAGACTCTCACTATGGGGCACATTTTTCTCTTGCAGTCTACCGAGGGTTCTGGAGTGTATTCATGCTCGTTGGAGTGGCTGCTGTAATAATGGGGGGCTTCATCATCATCTGTGCTGCTCCATTTGCCAGCCATAAGCTTTACAAAGCAGGAGGGGGCCTCTTTTTAACTGCTGGTAAGTCACAGTACTTGCACGGCAAGCGGACTCTTTCCTGTTTTATAATTTATGATAAATCTGCTAGTATTCAAACTGTAATTGTTAAGTGTACAATTTGTCCTTTTTCTTGAAGAATATGAAAATCTGCTAATTGCAAAGTGATGCTGATAGTCTCTGTATTACTTTCAGACCCCATGCAGGATAACAAAATCTGTTATGTCAATGACTCAGTTAATAATTCCAATTATTCAGAGCTGGTGGGACTTGCCACCCATATTCTACTTTTCTAGTATATATTCTAGTACAAAACTCAGAAGAAATAGCTAGAACTGTAGTTTAGTTTGCCACTTTGTCTCACATTGTAGCCACCTGTAGTCAAGTAAAGACACCTGTGTTTGGGGCTGACTTCATGCCTTCAGCTTGGCTCTGACTGGTGGTTAAATGTGTTTCTTGAATTACATAGTACCTTTTCAGTTTGGCTGTGTGTTTTCGTGATTATTTACTTTTTTCTCCACTAAAAAGCAAAGGGAAGTTAATCAATCATATGAAATATAAAGACCTTTTGCCATTGCTTGTTCAGACTCATAAGAAAAGTCTACTTTTCAACCCTACTGGACATCGAGCCTCTCTGTGGTGAAATCTGAGAGTTTATCTGTCTGTCCTTATCCTCTTTTGTCCCTCACCCTCTTGTTGTAGTAATACATTACTGGTTACGAGCTATACTTGTTTTGTAATCAATATCACGAATGCACTTAGAGGCAAAAATATGTTTAACATAACTCAATGAAGTGTGAAATATACACCCTGTCTCCCATTCGAATTTGGGATGTTTATTAGCCATTGAATGCATCTAACTAGGTTTCATTTTTTTGCAGGGATGTTCTTCCTAGCAGTCATCATCATGTATGTCATCTGGGTCCATGGGTTAGAAGGGGTGACTGAGTACACTGTTCAGAAGGAGTCCCATTGCAGAGACTTTCACATCAACATCAGATATGGCTTGTCCTTCATGTTTGCTCCAGTGGGCGTTTTCTTTTGCTTACTGGCTGGTCTGCTTTTCCTTTTAATAGGTCGTACAGTGCAAATGCATTACAACTAATCACAAAGATCTGCAGGTAACACGCACATACTGTATGAGCACTGACTGTGGATATTTCTTCTTGATGTTCATACATCATGGCATGAAAAAATTGAATCATGACAGGTTAGGGATCATCTGATGAAGTGTGGCTACACATACTGTGTACAGTACATTGCCTCTGGTTATTGTAAATGAAGTCTTATTACAGGAAATAGTAATAAGTGGTTGAATGCTTTGTTAAAATAATTTAGATATGTAAATGAAACATGTCTGTTTCAATGTTAAACAGATTAGTGTTACCTGTTATACATTATATTTATACACAACACAGGGAATATTAAATAAATAATACATTTCTATCATTTGGTGTAATAATGTGTTACACAACATTTCAGTAACATGAAAAAGCTAATAATTACAGTAATATGACATTTTGTTACACTTCTATTCAAAATCTTTCAAATTTGCTGCAATCATTAATATCTACTTACTTTTTTTTTACTAAAATAACAGCACAGTACTTGTGATATGTTTGATGCACAAAACTAGATTTGAAATGATTTTATTCACATTTCTTTTATACAATAGGGCGTTGTATCTGTAACAGTGCCACTACTCTTTCCTATATCTTAATGGTATATGGACACTATTATACAGTAATATTCAGAATAGTGTAATAACAATTCACTGTGGCACCAGACCTTCCTGCTTCTTTGTGGATTCACCACTGTGCTGCTAGTGAGTTTTTCCATGCACGTTTTAAAATTTGAGTGACTTTTAAAACGTTTATTTTTGTTTCAATTTAAATTCAGAAAATGAATAAGAGTTCACTGCAGTGAATTGGGGGTAGAATGTGTTGAAAAGACTTTCAAGGTACTTCTGTATAATCACATCTCATTTGGTATGTAGCCAAAAAACATCAGCTCACTGTACAATTCAGTAAACAGAACTATAGAAGTGCTAAGGATCCTAGAGTCCAATTATGCCTTTGTTTTGTTCGATGCAGCATATGATTAAATAGGTTCAGTTTTCAGATTTTTCAGTTATCAAAGGACTGTTTCTTGTATTTGCCTCCTTCCAGGACAGGGCTAGGTAACCTTGTCTCTTCCATTGCATTTTACTAAGACTTTGTTTCAGGTCCTCCCTTTCATAGTGGTGATCTTCAGTGACTTCAGCCACATCTTCAGAAGTGTGGCTTGTATGAAAACCTGCAGTGGAATGCATTAAACAGAAGCACTAAGGTTACCAAACTCTATTTTGGATGTCTGTACTCTGTGTAAGAGGTAGATGTTAAATGGTGTTCTTTACAATCTTTGTATTAAATATGGCAGTCAATGACCAGACTACTAAATGTAACAATGTTACTTAAATGACTTATATTAATATTAGTGAATCCTCTGTTTTCTCTTGATTAGCAAAAGGGTTCAAATTCTGGAAATGTAGGAAATGTAGGTTTTGTTAAAGTTGCCATTAAAATGTTATTTGAAAACGTTTTGTTGGTCACTTCTTACATATGTACAAATATTCAGGTAGGCAGTGATGGTTAGATATTTTCATCTCATTGTTTTATTGTATTGTGTATTGGCTTATTTTACCTAGGTCATTTCTGTCTGTTACCATCTCTTAAATTGGACTTCCTCTTCCTGAGAGAAAAACTCGCTCAAGTCTGACATGTTAATGAGTAGTGAGTTCCCAGCAGAGCTTGTTGTTGTTAACAACTCCCTTGATTCCACATGTAGTAATAGAAGACTGCCCCCATCTCTGTCAGCATTAGATTCATTTTTATTTTTTTATTTCTAGTGTTGTTAGTTGACATCCTTGTCCAGTGTGACTTATAATGCATATACTGTACAGTATGATAGTTACAACAGGTAAGTAACAATCATGTGCAATAAGTTATCAAATAAAACACAAGTTCAGCACACACTACACATTCATTGCAAGAAGGGTTGCTCAGCAAAATTAAGTAATATGAGTTAAAACAGTATACAGATAGATACTAAGTAAATGAAGGCAGTCATGTAGTCCACATCCACATTGAACAGAATCATTAAGCAAATCTCACTTCCAGATTGATAGTCAAGAATGTACAGTATTAAAAAATAATATTCAGATTCAAGAGATCACACCTGATGTTTAAGATGACATGTCTTGAGCAGGTGCTGAAAGGTGGCTGGACTTTTGAGTTCTTATATTACTACTCTTTGAACTGTCTTCCTAAAGACAGCATTAACCAGATGGTGAATGAAAATCCTACACAGAACCAGAACAAAAGAAAATACATACATACATACTGATTTGAAGAGATTGACTTAGAGGACACATTAATTGTGGCGATGAGAGTGCCAGTACTTCTGTCAGAGAAATTATGTTTAACTTATTCTTCTCTACATAAGCAGCACCCTTCAACTGCTTTGGACAATCATTTAGAAAACTCGTTATTTATTGGGCATGTCTACCAGGTCTTCCCCTACAACAGAACAGGTGCAAAAGTAAAAAATTATTCCAACTACAGAATCAAAGGGGACCATTAGAAAGACTGTATTGTACAAACTCAGAGTGGAATCTGTCAGGCACCATGCAATGTTTAATAACCAAGGAGTCTGAATCTCATACACACACAGCACTTCCTACATCATAGTGTCTCTGGGGCTTGGGTTTTGGAAATTGTGGACTAGTCTGCAGCAGCAAAATGGTTTTCATCGAAGTGCACTGTCCACATCCCAGTCCTCCCCTGGCCCTGCTTTGTGTAGTTTCTGAGATCTGATGAAAATAGGCTACAAGGCGGTAAACCCAGATGTGATATGAATGGAAAAATAAATCAAACACGTTAGGCAATGATGTCAATGTTGGGTTTAAAAACGCCTGCATGAGAGAATTGAGAATCAAGTGAAACTTTTTTTAACCTGAGTCAGTTTGATGCAGGTCTCATAGAGTTCTGTCATTCAGTCTAAAACAACTGAATACTGTGAAGCAGCTGTCTGGACTGCTGTCTGTAGCTATAATGTTACACATAACTGTGACAGACCTTGTGCTTGCTTGGCAGCTATTTTAAAGTCGGCACATATCAACATATCAACTTACCTTGTAGCTAAACTGAGATAGTTCAGTAGTCACAGGATTCATGAGAAGATTCTTCCTTTATAATAATATATACAGACAGACCAATATATAGGTTTTCCACTACATCAATTAAAATCTGAGATTTTTCTCAGATTATTAAATTTCATTTCAGAAACATTATTTTATTACCATGATTTGTAACTGATGGCAGTATACAATTTTTATTAAAACAAAAACATCATACACACGAGAATGCAGATTTTAATATGATAAAAGATTACAAGAATTACAAGATAGACTATAAACATACAGTACAGTACTATTGCTGTTCAGTTACATATATCTGAAAAAAGATGAATAAGCCATCTCAAGTCTGTTTCAGAACAGCAGATATTGTGGTATAGAAACAGATTCTTATTCAGGTCACTAACGATTTACTGATAAGTACTATTATTAGTCAATAATTAATATCATATATAATTTTGTTTTTGTCTGACTGGACTTTAATAATGTTGATCATTTTATTATGCTAATGAATATTGTGATATTATGTGAATATTAATAGATACTATACTGTATATTATGGTATATTACTGTGTATACTGTATATCACAAAATTGAATGCAATATACTTTTTTTCCTTTCTGAACACTGACATAGGCTCTGGTTAGCAGCTCTGCAGCACTTTAGTTTGATGGTCTTAGAGCAAGCACTCAGACAAGGAACTTTTGTGTCATCACAGCTCTCCCTTTTGGTTACAAAAAAGAAAATATATTGTTTTGTCATTTCTCGATTATTGTATGTTGAATAATGCAGTTTTTCTGGTACGTATATCCAAACAAGTTTTTAATTGCAACATGTTCAGAAGCCAAAAGTCTATCAATTGGAAAAGCTCTATCAATTAATCTAGAAATAAAGGATCTTCATAATTTTGGGATATTGATCTTACATTGTTTACCCAAAACAAACTGTGCACTTGTGCAGCAAGTCATGAATAATAACCCACTGTCCTACATTACTTAATAATAGTGCAAGGTACAGTACTAAGCATTGACTTAAAGACAGGAGGGATATACAGTATTTGGGTCTGGCTTCGTCAGGTGTAATCTTATTTGAATACTTTTTCCCCACTAGAGGGCAGTCTGGGTTTGCTTGTGACAGAAAAGACAGAACTGGCTGGAATATTTCTAAATGTATAATTATTACTCAAACTAATATTTGTAGACAGGTAGAACGCAGGATATTCAAAGGGAACATTCTGGGTTGAAGGTAGTATGACACGTCTGGAAAGTACACATTAATTAATAATGGCTGTTTTAAGTACAGAAAATAGACTTAAAATAAACCCGGTATGGTTAACGTTTGATAAAAAAAGTCTCCTGTCAAAACACGAACAAAATTAGAAGAAAACACCATCCCACCTGCTTACATACGATGTAGGCAGACCAAAATGGACAGTGATAATAAAATCAGAAACTCAAAACTCACAACAGCCACTGAATCTTAAAAAGCTTTACAAACACGCAGAAATACATTTGCCATAAGAAGCATTCATGTCCAGAGTAATGTTTGAATTCGATTTGAATTTATACTGTATTTTTGGCTGAGAATTGTCAACATACAGGAATATCAAGTGAGCGCAACAGCACTGTTCTTTGTTGTTCCTGTCTACTATATAATCATCTTAGAAGGCTTCAAATTACACTTTTGCACAGTACATGCCTTATATAGCATAGTCTGAGGTTTTATCTTTTTTTAATGAAGTACTATAAAGATACAATAAATAAAACGTAAGTAAAATGTCACTAAATATCTTAACTTTTTTTTCTGCAGCAATGCAAAAAATCCTTTTGAACGGAAATTCTTCTTTCACAGTGTTTTTTATAGATTAGGATTTTATTGCATGATTCAAAGGTTGTGAAATCTATACAACATATAATGTACAGACCAAAGTTTGATGATGAAATTGTTGATTGCAAATAGAGTAATGCAATTTACAACTATTTCATTTTTTTTGGATGAATAATATACCATTCAGCCCTCTTAATCTCTACAGTGTACAAGGAAAGCATAATTACATCTGTGTCACAATTGCTGGTTTAATGAAACACAGCTTTAAAAATCTTTGTCATTCAGCACAGAAGGCAACTAACCCCCTTGAAACTGTTGGAATAAATTGATATTTTAAGGCAGATTTTAATGAATACTGTGGCTTATTCAATCATAACTTTCAGTTCAGCTTTATCTTTTGGCAGATCCATTAGCATCACATTGCCCCCTGAATTTCATATGAAACTCTCCCAACTCCTCTGTCTTGTACATTTTCACTATTTGTCTTTCCCGTAATCTAATTCTTTGTCTCTGGTAGACGGGACTGTCCATTGCAATTACTGGATGAACATTAAATCCATGTGCGGTGAGGCATTTTAATCTTTCTGGTGAAAATGTCATTAAAAGAGAGCCTGTAGTTTTGAAGTACAGTGTCATTTGCTGTTTTTTTAAAGAAAAAATCTTGTTTCCAATGAAGCCAAATGTCAAACTGAGTCAGTAATCACCATGCAATTCATCTTAAAGCATAAAGGAACCTGTTTCTGAATGTTTTTTTTTTTCAGGTAATGTCCAGGCTACTTTAGTTTTAATGGTACACAAGGTGTTTGAACCCACTTATAATATTTATTTAAAGGGTAAGATTCTGCTAATTGTCTTAATCAGCATATTGAATGGATTCTTTTTTTGTTTGGAAGAATTATATTACTTTGGTCTTAGTGTTAAATATAACCTATTTACATTAAAGTAAAAAAACCCACAAGGCCTTATTTTGAAACTGATGGCTTGACAGAGGCAAATGGAACAATTCAAAAGGCCTATAAAGAAGGAAGGCATTGCTCTGGATACAAAATGAAACATTATTTCCTTTCAATTTACGTCTGTCATACTATGTTTAGGCCTTCACATTTGAGTTAACCTGTGAACATTTTCTGCGGCCTAAGTGCTGGTCGAAAGACACAAATGAGATTTCCTCTCCGCTGATAGATTTACACAGCATGGCAGTCCCCTTAATAACAATCTGACCAACCAGAGATGTCATTCCATTGCATGACATTTTGGCTTTTGTCTGCCCTCTCACTCTGCTTTGATCTCCCCATCTGACTTTGTGTCCTTGGTTTTACTCTAATTGCTAAGAGAATATTTATGCCACTGTGATTGCTACAGTATGCAGTCTTATGTTCTGGCTGGCAATATTTGAAAAATCCATCAAAAGATGAACAAACACAAAATGCTACCACATAAATTAACCCAATTAAACAACAGAAACTGCACCTTATTATTACAAAGACTGTACAGAAGTAAAATTAATTTGAAAGACACAAATTAACCTTTCATTTCGTGGTGATTGTATTATTAGGTATGCTGTATTATTTCTGTTAG